TCGACATCTCAACTTCCAAAAGTGGTCCGGACCTGGTGTGTTTTGTACATTTTGACTTGGAAATGTGCTTCGCGCCACAACGGCGTGCACTTTTTCGACAATTTTTTTACTCCTGCCCTGCGCGCTGGCTCAAATGAGACAAAGCAAGCTTGAAATTTTGGGCGCGCGTAGGCGCCGTCACCAGGAAGTCTTTAAATTTACCATCTGTGCTGAGTAAACGATTTAGTGTCATGGGGTTGTGGATAGACGGGTGGTGTGAAAAGTAAAAATTGGTGGGTTCTTGTAAGCATTGTAACATGTTGCCCAACCAGTGTTCGGTAGGTCGCCCCCGCGTAGTTTTTTGGGTAATAGCAATACGGTCCCTAAAAGCTGAACAGAAGACTATGTGATGGTATGGATCTTCGGGCGGAGTAGCCAAAACCTCAATCAGAATTTGAATCTGTTGCTGGAGAACAAGTTGCGACGCTGTCATGGGTTTACCAGCGGTGTCCCAAACCGTATAATTAGAGATTCGAGAAATGTACGCCGCTTTTATTCCTAGAACACTGCGAAGCAGTCGGAAATAGAAACTATCAAGGGTCTGATAAAGTTTAGTGGAGAAAGTTAGACAGCTCAGGCCGTAGATCAGGGTGGAGACCACGACAGAGTTGAAAATACGAAGTTTTTGCTGGGGTTGAAGGCGGCTATTCCAAACTAACCTCAGAGACTGCAGCGCGGCTTTAGCTAAATGGAAGCGGGCGGTAATGGCAGAGCTAGCGGGCGCGTCCCAAGTGACAAGGGAGCCGAGGTAGCGAACATTAGTTGCGGTGGGGACAGGGTCGCCATTAAGGAAGTGTAGGCGTGGGGTGTCCTGAGAAGGGTATACTAGAATTTCGCTTTTGGCAAGATTTAAGGCTAAACCAAAATTTTGCGCTTCCGTTTGTAAGGCATGCAGCATGGCTTCTAGTTGCGGGGTGGAAATGCCAAAGAGGAGTGTGTCATCTGCATATTCTAGATCAAAGACCGGTTTACCGACTGACCAGGTGTTAGTGGGGGTGCCCTGCCTCATCAACCGGGCTTCTGTGTCTTCAAGGACAAGGGACAGAATAAGAATAAACAGATAAGGACTAAGTGGACATCCTTGACGGATACCTGAGGAGGCAACACCGGCAGCGACCTGTCCGTTCATACCGGATATAATAAATTCAGGAGAGGTATAGAAATCTGCGATAATATCGATATAATCCTGGTGAAGATTCCAACGTTGCAGTCCGGCAATGAGGGCGGAGTGGTCCAGGGTATCAAAGGCTTGTTTCCAATCAAGAAATAAAAGATGAACAGGTTTAGTTAGAGCACGTGACCAATCTTGCAAGCGACGAAGCAGGAAAAGGGCATGCCGGGTCCCGCGTGAAGCGCGAAAGCCGTATTGCGTGGGGCGGATAAAAGAGTCCAGTTCGAGCGCGAGCCTGACCTGCAAGATGGAAGCGTACAGCTTGTATAAGACGGGGAGGAGGGAAATGGGTCGGTAGGAAGTGGGATCTGAGTCTTTGCCTTTACCTTTGTAAAAAGAGATGACTACAGCTCGCTTCCAAGCAACCGGAATTTTTCGTAATTTTAGACAAGAATTTAAGAGCGCAAGAATTTTTTCTTCCCCAAAAGCATCCAGGGCTCGGACCATATCACTTGTTAGGGCGTCGTGGCCCGGCGCCTTACCTTTTTTTAATTTTCTAATGGCTTCTGTAAGTTCTTCTGCCGATATAGGTAGAATGGGAGACGCCGGCCCCATTCGCACACTACCTTGCTGGATGGAATCTAGTAACTCTAGCGGAATTTCCGGCGGGGCCCATCTTTCAGTGGCATAATGATCCCTAAAGGCAATATGGGTTTGAGACCAAGGAATCACTATTCCATTGCGGATCAGCCGTGTGCGGCGCGCTGAGAACCCTTTTTTTTGTGTATTGACCGTGAGCCAGAGGTTACGCTTGTATGGGGAATTATCGGTTTCCATGAGATGCTGAAACCAACGTTTTTTGTCCGCACGAGCAGCTTTTTTTGCTTGCTTCCAAAGGTGGGAGGATTCAGGCGAATTGAGTTGGTGTGCGCGACGTGCTTGCGACGGAGTACGGGACGCAAAACTGCTAAGGGCGGAGTGGACAATAGCAGAAGTGAGAAGCTGGGATTCCTGTTCCAGAGCATCTTGAGAAGTCGGGGTGGAAGCAGTGGAGGAAAGGAAATCCTGGGGAAGCGGGAAGCGTGAGAGGCTATACCTACCTCCGAAAGCAGCGGGAGAATTTCGACCACGTTGTGCAAGGCAATCCGCGCGCTCGTTACCGACATTGCCAGAGTGACCTTTAACCCAAACCCAATGAACACAAATTTTGGAAGACAAATTCAGATACAGGGCGCGCGCAAGAGAGATCATTGCTTTATGTCGCTTAGGACGCCAGTGGCCGGTAACCATGTGCGCTGTCCATTTACTATCATATACAAAAGTCAAGTCGGCTGGGAGTGTCTCAGGCTGTGCGAGGAGGAAAAGCGCTGCTTCCATCCAAGCCGAAAGTTCCGCTGTGTTGTTACTGCCTACCCGCGCTCCAAGGAAGCCTGGGTCTGAAGGTTGAACCTGAACGGGACCTGCACTATCAAAGAAATCGCGTGAATTAAAAGTGCCTGTCCATCCCCAGCCAGCAGGGGTACGAGATGAGCAGCGCCCTGTGTTCCCCGACCCATCGGTAAAGATAGTGAGCGAACCTCGCGTTGGGGGAGCGGGAGCAGCAATTGTTGGGGAAGAGTAAAAGGAACGGAAAGTAGTATTGAAAGCATGGAGGCGCGGATCAGCAGAGGAGGTGGGATAAGCAAGGGCTTTCTTAAGAGCAGAGCCAGGATTCGACGAAGGCTGTCGAAGTTTTACTCTAAAGGTAAGCTCGATAGGGAAATGGTCGCTAGGGAAACCAAAGTCATGGTACGCTTGCATGTTGAGTACTGTGGGAAGCCACTTAGACGCAGTGAAACACTTGTCGAGAGAGTGGAATAGCTTGGGATCCAGGATAGGACGGGAGGCTGAGGCTGGAGGGAGAGGTGTCGCGAAAAGAAAACTGCGAACATGCGACGCGAAGTCTATCCCGTCTTCTCCTAATGGAAAAAATACATGGTCAAAAAACTGTTGAATGATCAGAGGATCCCCTGCAAACTGTGCCCAACTGAGTGCCACCGGGTTTTTTTCTTGATAAGTTATTTGGCGGAGTAGCCGTGGTGTCTTGAAGCTCATGACATCTTTCCCCTGCAATAGCTGTAAAGTGTGTAAATATAAAGTACGGTTAGAGAAGGGGGAAGTGTCTGCCTTGAGGGGCCCTTTACCGAAAATGTGAGGACCTAACCAATTGAATTCTGTGGAAAGCCGACCCTGCAACCTGACATTGAAATCTCCTATAACATACCATGGTTCTGGCTGGGGGATGGCGGCGATCAAATCGTGTAGCTTATCCCAGAATGGTGCCCGGACGAAGTCATAAGAAAGGCCAGCATGAGGAGCATAAATACCGATTAAATGAATGGTGCCACTATGGTGCCGGACCTGGTGTGCTTTGTACATTTTGACTTGGAAATGTGCTTCGCGCCACAACGGCGTGCACTTTTTCGACATCGCAACTTCCAAAAGTGGTCCGACCTGGTGTGTTTTGTACATTTTGACTTGGAAATGTGCTTCGCGCCACAACGGCGTGCAATTTTTCATCTCTCATCTGGCCAGCTGGCTCCGCACCCGCCGCTTTAGCGAGCCTACTTTTCGACCCTCCGGAGCCACAAATCATTGGAAAAACACAGTGTTTCGCGACTTTCCTACCTTTTCGCGCATCTGCATCTTCTTTCTTCTTACTCTTTCTCTTCTACTCTTCTTTCTTCTAATCTTTCTCTTCTCTCTGCCTCTTCCCTGCTCTGCTTTTCATCTGTCCATATTGTCGGAAGTTTGACTTCTAAACTTCCTTCGATCATATGTATATGTATATGTATATGTATATGTATATGTATATGTATATGTATATCATATGTATATGTATATGTATATGTATATGTATATGTATATGTATATGTACATAAAAACATGTATATAATAATATATGTGTATATTATATAGAGAGAGAGAGAGAGAGCTCCATTCATTGCACATTGTTCTCCCACATATCAGTCCCACCTCTCTATCCCGGTCAAAGCCACGATTTCATAGTCCTCCAAGACCACCAAATCCTGGGCCTCCGCGATGGAAACCTCAAAACCTGCAGCCGTTTTCAGCGAGGTGGCTAGGTCCAGGTTACTGGTATTATACTTGGTGGTTCATCCCACTTACTAAGTAGGTTATATCATGTTATATCGCTGGTTCATCCAGTGGGCAACTGGGGTGAACTAACCTACTTACGATTCGTGGGATGAACCACCAAGTAGGGTCTATGCTGGAGAAATAGTACGAAAATGACTTATATGGCCTTATCATATGTTATAATGAGCTGCCTTAGGATGTCTTGAAGCACCTATGGGGATATAACCAGCCCTGAGAAGGGACTTGGATCTATCCTATTGAATTGGTTTTGGCTGTTTTAGGGTCCATATCTATACACATATGGTAATTGAATGAGCTTGTATTAGTGCAAATTAATATACTCTACAGTAAGTATTGTATGCCGAAGTTTATTGATGAACTGGATCAGTTGCCAACACTTGTCATCGATACCATTTTGTATACCAATCAGAGTCATTGAGCCAAACTAACTGTGTGTCTACAGGCAACAAGCAAGTCTTATATGACAAGTTTGGTTTCGGGTCGTGAAGCAAACAGCAAACCCATGGCATTTTACTGATTTTACCCCACTGGGAACGAGTAATCAGAACCGACTCGCAGGCTTCGAACGACGTTGCCGGCCTTCATTTTTGGACCCACTCCACGTACCAAAACATGGGTTAGGTCAAAAATGGGGCATCTATGTTTGGCAGTTTTCACTAAAAATGATGTTCAAAACTATTCCAAACTAAATCATTTCAAAATATGTTAATCATGTTCAATCCCCATTTGACCAAGCCTACTTGGGGCTGCAGTTCCACTTATAAGTGGACAGAGAACCATAGCATACCATAGCTATAGATTAAATGAGGTTTAATTGATAACAGTGGAGGTTATTGCCATTGTTCTACACCCATAAAGATTAGCCTAAGGATCCTATCATTTTATACCCATAATGGGGATTCTATCCCAACTGGAGGCTGCCACCATAGTACACATAAAGATATGTAAAGATTCCACCCGGCCACCCCCAAGTACCCCCAACGCCGCAAGACCCGGGCCGAGCTACGTTGCAGGATGGACTGCAGCTGCACCAGCCGCTGCGGTGTCACCGACTTTGCAGGCACCGAAGGGTACGGAGGAGCGACACCAGGACGATTCCCGCTCCTCGGCGCGGTGACGGAAGCGGATGGTGAGAAGACTCCAGTTATGTGCGGAATATACCCGGTTATACTATGTTAAGCAGTGATATGTGTGTGTATATATATATTAGTTCTATGTGAATATATATATATATGTGTGAATATATATATATATATGAGTGATAAAGATTGATAAAGACCATCTAAATATAGTCTGTAACTACATCCTGACGATCTATATATAATTCGTATAAATGTAAATGTGCACCAAGTTAGGGATGTAACCCGATATACAATTCAAGAATTCTGCATGTACCAGGATGTACTATGTACTATGCTTTTTCACTTTTTTCATCTGTTTTCACGTATCTATGACATCCACGCGATTCAGAATCTAATGCCTGTTGTCACAAGATCAGGTCCTGATGACCCTGGTGCCTCAGCAGCCCAACATGAAAAAACCCAGCGGCGGCGGAACAGTCTGGGGAGCATTCGACATGTTCGCATTGCCAATGGCAGGGCCAATTGTCTGGGTGCCCGGAGCAGACACCATGGCGGCAAGCGACAGAAAGATATAGAAATCACTAGAACAACAGTTCAGAGCTCCAGCATTGCTGTACTTTTGGGGGAGAAACCTTTCAAAAATCACGTGCTGCATTCCGAAATTCCTCTTAGATTGCTGGCTTCACTTCCTGTTTCCGGATCTACAGTTTGCCAGGTGAGTTCGAAACAGCTCTGACAGATGAGGATCATGAAAAAATGCAGATGCTGGATGCCACACCGGTGGAAACCCGACCAGAATACACAAAATTGACCCAAATTGGCGGGATTCAAAGCATCCAAAATTGTTCAGCCTATATAGACACATTTGAAAAGCACCTACCAGGGATCAATTCTTTGAGTGGTATGCGAAATACGGTGAAATGTCCCGGTGACAGCTCCAACAGCAATGTGACCACCGGCCATGTGAGTCATCATTGTATCATGATGTGAGCCGGCGACATCATCTTAGCACTGCCATTTTCAGGCTGGCACCGCATGCACTGCACCTCTTGAATTGTGATGTCATCATTGGACACCGTGCCATACCGTGCCTGGATTAGATGGTTTCCTTGCTGAGTCTACGCCAATTGGAAGGAGATGGGGGATAACAAAAAATATGACCACAAAAAGAGTACCCCCCCTTTTTTTGATAGAAAAGTAAGTCATCACTATTTTAGTCGGAATTTACCAACTTCTATCTTTGTAGTCGGATGACCAGCAGCCCACTGGTAGCTCTCGGTTCCATCTGAGCCAAATCTACGGCCCGTGAAACGAGCTGATGACTTTGATCAGGAAATCTTGAAGGGCCATTCAATTATGAAGATCTGCCATCTATATACAGTATATACATACTTATAATATATATATATGTATACATATATATATATATGTTTATATATATATATATACATACACGTACACATGTATGTATTTGTATGTACATATATACATATATATACATATACTGTACACATATTATATATATAATTATATATCTATAGATGTGTGTCTACATGATGTATACATATATATATACATATATACTACGTGTCATTATGTATCCATGTTCAGATCATCTTCACATTCCAAGAAAACATTGGGATTTCTCAGCCATGACCATGACACGACAGTAGAGCTCAGCCAATGACACACTCGTGGCAGCCAACATCATGCTCCGAGTCCTAGGAGTGACTTCAGAAAGCCTGTTGGACCAAAGTGGGTGAAGCTTTGATCAATGGATTGGTTTTGTTGGGAAAATCTTAACCGGAAACCATGGTTTTTACCATCAAATATAGGGCTTTCCTGTAAATTTTCCCATCATCCAATTCTATGATTTGATCATTAGAACATATGATGACATATGAACCCACCGTGCTGGTGGGTTTCACAAAATGTGAGTGATTCTTAGCTCAAATGTTGGGGGCAAATCTGTACATGGAGCTTTTGGGATTAAGAAAAACCGTAAAAGAACCAATTCTGCGACAAACTTTCGATCTGTGCCGTCTGTGCCTGGCTACAATCCCATCTCTCTGTGCTCCGGAAGCCGACTGTTTGGCGACTCCCAACTTTGCCTTTGAAAATCACCTTCTTGGTCAATGTGGGTAGAAGTATCAAGTACTGTATCAAGAACTGATGAATTCACATTCCATTGGTGTTGACAAAAGCCAATATACAGTTTCCCTTTTGGTAACAAATTCGTCTGGGGCTTAACCCACCATATATCAGCAGTTTTTTCCCACAATCTCCAAGAATCTTCCTCCTTGAATTTGACGCATACACGTCCTTGTTGAAAGTATGATCGCTGTCCCAGACTTTATGGCCAAACCGATTGACAAAATCTCCCCACGTGACGGAGACGTCCGCAGTCTCACTAGTGATGAAAAAAAGTCTTTGACACTTGGATAAATTCCATCCCTCAGTGCTTGAACATGACAGATACCTCTAAATAAATGAATGTCCAAATAAAAACTATAATTTGAGATAATGATGTAATTACATTATATGATATTATATAACTTTATATATATATATATATTGTACGGATATTTATTGGTAAAGAACTTGTGGTTGCTGAAAGATCCCGAAAGCTCTTCAGCCGAGCAGCGCTGCAGTCTGAGTCGTCGCAATATTTCCGGTGCGCCTGCGGTTGATCATGTGCCCCTTTTATGCGTGGCTAGTTCAGCAATATCTCTGATATTTTTCTGTGCTTCATGTATAATGTAAGTTTAAAAAAAACTATGTATATATATATATGTGTATATATATAGTTATGTATATATAATTATACTATGAATCACTTGCGTGCAGGTATTAAATGACAATTGGAAAAGATAAATGTCTAAATTCCATGTACTGTCTCTATCAAACTTCCAATTTCGCAAATCCGGAACGGCCAAGTTTTCGAGTATGTCATTCAAAATTGGTGAATATCAAATATTTAAAAAGTAAAAGGGCAGCTTTAAAAAATCACAAACGAATTCTCAAAGTTGGAAGTACATCTATATATATATATATTCAATGTGCATGGGTCAAAGTGAAGTACCCTTTAAATACTCAGCAGCGTTACTAGTAACTGCAGCCAATCTCACTGGTTCACACTAGTGCTGATCATCCCAGCAAGAAATGACCATGTCCTGCTGGGGAAAATGATGACCATGTCGTCATTGGATGTGGGGCTAAGCGAAAATCCACATGGTCCACATGGTCCACTATGGAAAATGACCAACCAGAAAGTGACTGGACTTTGTCGTTTCTTTAGTACGGCTTTGTGAAACCAACCCATTAGGTATTGGACATCTACCACATGGGTCTGTCAAAAAACGGAACATATTCTTAAAAGATCTCAAAAGTAGCTGCGCATGCACAAATATTTGGAATTGGGGTATACAACATTGTACAACGTAGTTGGACAACCCCGAGAAAAACAGAGGTTTTTGCCCAACATGGTTGGTTTATGTCCATGTCTTTGATGGTGTTTGACATGATTCTTGGTGTTCAACCTAAACGTCTTGGTGCTTCATCCCTATCTTTCAACGCGGAACCATCAATTTTCGATGAAACTGCAGTTTGTTCTGGTTGAAACCAAGATTGTTGATGGTTACCCTCCTGGTAATCATAGAAATGGAAACATCTCCCATTTAGTTCGGGGACGTCCCAGCTGGCCACGTTGGATCAGAGGGTACATCCCATATGTGCGATTAAAGTCCTATTAAAGTCCTATTAAAGTCTCATGAAAGTTCCATTGAAGTCCCATTAAAGTTCAATTGAAGTCCCATTGAACCACCATTGAAGCAAATTGAAACCCCATGTTCCCAAGGGTCTACTGACTCTGCACAACCGTTGACTCTGGGTTTTGGCCGCCTTCTTGTTGCCTGTCTCGTCCCAAGCATCAAACTTGCTGGAGATCTGGGAGCTCAATGTGGCCCCGGCGAATTTTTTCACCATGAAAAACCATGGTCTTTTCACAATCAACAACTCTTCCAGAAGCCAAAATGTGGGTTTAAACAATTTTAAACATGTAAAAAAAAACTTTAAACCATCATAGATAAACAAAACTTGTTCATTTCACCACGAAACATGATTCTGTGGATGTGTCTGAAAATGGGCTGTGCACCAACAATTGCTATGTTGATTGAGAAAATGCGATTGACCAGTGGATTTACGAGTACTCTGTTGTCAGACAAGCCCATGCAATTACCCTATACTCTATCTAAATGATTTGAATATACATGAGCTAGGTATAAAGGGCAGCGCAAACCCGCTAAAATGGTTCTTCTTGTCTGGAATAGTTAGCTATACGTACGTATATAGAGACGTCCCCTGATAAGCTATCTATGAAAGAGGTCATCAATACACAGTCAGATAAAAATTGGATGAAATAACCCAGTTACAACCCCCACAACTTCCAAGGGGCTAGTTAAACGAGTACTTATAGAGAAAGTGCCTGCGTTACTGTAAAGTGCCCTCTTGACTTTTTACATATATAATTGATCTAAAGCATGGGATATTATACCATTGAACCATCAAGTAGCTATAATTATAACCATTCCCATCCCATTCCGCTTCAGCACCACACACTTCCAGCAGCTGATGCTGAACTTTGCCATTCAGGCCGGACACTCCGGTTCTTTTTTCAACTGTCAGCGATTCAACTCACGAATCGCACGGGCGTTGAGTTTGGAGATGTGCCTTTTCAGAGCAAGCAACCTGCGCACAGGCATTAAACCATTACATATATCGAACAATTATTCGCCAAAAACATCTGACATATATCTGACAATTATACGACACACCGCCTGAAGTGTGAAGCTCGTAGCACTGACCGGGTCAACTTTTTTCTAGATGCCAATTGGCAAATGCCTCATTGAACAATTTCAACAGCTGGATCCACACAGTAATTTGCTAGATCGCCGAGGCACATTTAGCCCATTTCATTTGATCCTCTTCAAGGAAGTTGTGAAAGTGGCGCCAATTAAGTCCTAAGTATCCCAAGTATATACATGGAATTTTGAATATAGCAATAACTATCCAGAACCTAGTCAAGGCACGTGTTGCCATACAATCTCTGAGTTGGTGTGCAAAAGCCTCAGAAAAAAACGGAAGCAAAGGAGCCGTGTTGGTCAAAGGCACTTCACGCTGACATGCTGCCAAATAGCATGTAGCTTGGGAATGCAGTACCAAAAGAGAAGCCGATGCCTGACGTTGCAAACTTCCAGGCATTATAACCTGCTAGAAAAAAATGAAAAACATCATTGGAACCAGCCTATGTGCTATTTTTGTCGAAACTTTGTGAGCGCGAAGATATTTCATGCCCGACGCATAGATATCCAGAGCTTGCCGCGGCGACCTAGTTCAACCACCAAGTTGCTTGCATGAAAAGACACATCACATATCACATCACCCAAATTTGAAGGCTACTTTTTAGGCTGAATTAGTTTGATTGGGATATATATATATATATATGCCAGGGTGCAAGTAGCGAGGTGAAGCTTCGACATGCCAAAAATTGTCAGCCAATGCATTCCTTAGGAAATAAATGAGGGGACCCTAGAATTCAAAGCTTGACATTTTTTTTTATGGGCGACAAAAACCATCCCAAAAAATTACCCCTGGCAGGGGGTATTTTTTTTAGATCTAGTTCTACCAGGTATCAATGCTACTGTTGAAGGCATCAAGAGTTCATGGTCAGGCCATTCCAAGCCACTCTCAGAAATCCACTGGCCGCACAGGCGGCCCTCTTCGACTCTACGTCCAAGAGCGAGGACAAGGCAGGACGACAGCCAACTCACCAAAACCCGGGCATTGTACGCTTTGGCCGTCAAGTGAGCCCCCCAAGTAGTAGATTTCCATACCTAAAGATGCAGGATATAATACTTAAAAATAACCAATTAAAATGTTTAAAAAACACCGCAGCCCATCCATATAGTTGATCAAAGCTGCATTCCCTACTGTGAACAAAGGCTGAGAAGAGTAAACCTTGTTCTGGGAACACCATGCCTTGAAGTCCTTGTACGCAATCACCAATCGATCAGCCAAGTCCGTTGCCGGGTCTCCGAAGAATCCAAGCTGGGTAAGAAGTAACCTCGTGGATCATTATACAAATTGATCAACTAATGGGGTTGATTCTAACCAAAAATCTATATCTAAAGTTAGGATATATCCCATGATGATCATATTTCCGAGTAACATCGCACTGCCGTTGGCAACAGCAGCTATGCCAAGGTTGACATTGTGCATACTGCAATGCTTGATTATACTGTAGTGGAACTTGGGGAGTAGGATCAGTGGACCTCAGATGAATGACACCAACAACTAAAAATGCAGTGTGCAGAGCAAAATTTTATCATCCAAATTCTATATATGGGTGGTCTATGAAAGTAAAATAGTAATCAGTTTTCTTTCACTAAATATCTCAGATCCACATGGCCCGCCAGGCCCTATGCCAATGCACTGGCCCAAGAACTGGGCATTGGTCAGCTGGGTGTGTTCCCAATCTGGATGGTCCCTGAAGTCAAGATAGCAAGGGAAATCTGGGGAAGTAACCTTGCTAGCGTCACATCTCCAACAAAATTGGGAATTTCTCCATGATCTCTTCAGTGATAGTGCATCGCAATGCCACTCCCAATCACCCTTGATCTCAGTAATAACGAAACGAAGGGTTGTGCCACCACATTGAATCCCATCGTGGTAAAGTTTGTGCATAGCCTCGACAATTTTCTTGTAGAAGGGATATAGGGTTCTACTCCCAACCATACGGTAAGTCTCCAGCGAGAATAACAACCAGATGCGACGTCTAGCCGCTCTCGGATTCCAAAGTGGTAAGCTGAAAAAAATGCAGGTCACCTTTTCTCCTGCTGCACTGAATTTAGCAGAATCCCCGTAGATGGCACAAGGAATATGATCACCATCAGACATATGGCTCCATGGGCAACCATTTTCTTTGCAGTGACGCCAGTATTCTTCAATAGATTCCCGGGGTATCTCTAAACCTACCACGCAAAACAAGTACCGCAATAAATCATCTGGAGATGTCATGGGCAGCTCTGCTGGTATTGGATCGCTTTCACGTAGCTTCCCCTTCACAACGGTTTTCACATCAACTGAGTCCTGCAGGGTTCACAGCAGTAGGATTGGGAGAGATTATAAACCTTAATTATCAACCCAGCTATTGCCAAAAACAAGCTTAAGATTTGTGGTGAAGTTTGACCCCACAGTCCACTGGTTGTCGAAACATTTTTCTGAAATTTCTGGCTTCATTGGAATGCCCAGGAGTGTACGAACCGAGCTTTGCAATAGGTTTTGGGAGTCCATGCGGAGTGTCCTCAATCAATTGAAAAATGTAGGAGGGAGTTGATCGATCCACACAAGTAAAGTCCACTTGACACTGCTAAGAGTTCATGACCATTTCACATTGGATCATGTGCAGGCAAGATTCCAGGTAGCATGCCCTTGCTTGCTCCATTTGTTTTTTAATTGAAGCCTCATGGTTCTGTGGAACTTGCCCCAATTCAACAAATAAAATCTCCCAATTTCCATTCTCAAAAGGAAAACCACGATAATAAAATGCAGAGAAATGACCCCACTGGCAAGGCTGTCAAGCATATGGCTAACTTGGTGTTCACGGTCAAGATGTTCTTCACCTGCGTGGGAGGGAATACAAAAAAAAACCGTATAAATTGCTACTAGCTATATATATATACTTGAAGAACTCTGAACAGTTGACCACTTAATTCATGAATTCAGAAAGCACTTTTTTTTCAGATCCAGCGGCCACATAATGTTTGGAAATAGGACGGATTTGGATATAGGCTCACCCATATCAGAAAGCTCAAAGCTTATGGCACCAATTTGCCCACAAAGCCATGTGAAGTCACACAGCGAATCTAAAGGCTAATGGTGGCCGCACCCCAATCACACTAGGCCCGATGAAAACATACGACTTCGAAGACAACCTTCATGGTTTGGCACTCAACTGACTGGGACGAAGCTTCAACTGGATTTGTTCTTTGAATTTATTCAAATCAGACCTGGCCAGTGTGAAGCATCTGAAAACCTACTTCTTCTTAGAAGACTGGTCAGCCTTACGCTTCTTACCAGTAATGGGTTCCATCTTTTGGTCAAACTCAGAAATGCCATCAGTCGCAGCTTTGAGGCACTTTTGCAGCTTGGCATCCTGCCAAAAAGAATTGAAATGATGTTCATGCTTCAAATTGAATAGCCAGAATTGAGATCATGATTCATGATAATTATCAGAATATATATTTCTATATAGATCGATCATGATATATTCCATGTATATACCAGTAAAGAAGATAGATGCAGCCACCTGAACCACCTGTCCTGGGCACTGCTGTCCAAGGCCTCTTGCAAAGAAGTCCTGAAGCTAGTCAGGACTGACACGATCGCGTTGATCTCCTTCTCCATGGCCGTTTTGATGTTGGGCGACCTGAAGTACAAAGAAATTTCATGGCAGGAATTCTTTGGATACCCATGTTTACTAGTTGAACCTAGTGGCCAAGAGCCCATCGATTGCTTCTTGTCGTTTGCACTTCGAATCCGGGAGTTGATGTCACTGATTGCCTTGCAGTGTGTGGTGAGATGAATATAATTAAGATGGATGGGGCACATCCAATTGGCATTTGGCCTTCTTTGCATCTTTGATAAGCTTTTTTCGGGCTTCCTTTGCTGCTTCTTTTGCTTTCTCAGCCGGGTCCTCAGCATCCTTAGACTTAGTCTTTTTCTTCGTTCCCTTCTTTTTTCCTCCCTTCTTCTTGTTCTTCTTATCCTTCTTGCTTCCTGACTTTGCCTGGGAGTGAGAATTCTATTTGAACTATGTTGGACAGTGATCGGGGTGATATGAAAATATATGATCATATACCCCTATCGGGCCTTATTCTTCTTTGCCTTTGTTTTGGATTTCTTTTTCTTCTTGCCATTGCTGCTTTCATCATCATCATCATCATCGCTTTCTGATCCTTGGTCGCTGGTATAACCATCAGAATCATCAGAGTCCTGGTCCCTCTCCGTCAGCGAGAACTTGTCCATGATTCTGTCAGTCTCGTTCGATTCCTCGTGATCCTCTGTCAGCACCAAGTATTGCGACAGGGTTGGGACTTCTGGGTGTTTGCGAACTTCTGAAGCCATCAATTCTGGATCTGAACGCTTTCTCAAAATGATTCCATCAACGATACCTTGATCATTGTCGAAGATTGGAAGCATCTGTTTTCGTGTCAGCCACTGCCTGCGGCCCGACCTCTTGTTTTCAATCGTGTTTGTCACTGAACGGTAAATGGTCGTTTTCTTCCAATCACAAGAGGACTTCCAAAAGTCTTCGTAGAGCATGCTCTGCTGCTCCTTGCCTAAGTGTGATGAGTATCCACATGTACACAGCGTGTATTGAGGAAAAATCTGAGAATTTGGCACCATCGAAAACGGCGGGCCAACTTCTTGACTTCCTTGGGCGTATTTCGACCTGAGCTTGATGCAGTAATTTCAAACATGATATCCATCGAATATGTTTTTTATAAACTTGTGGTTGTCAGCTGGATCACAAAAAAAATGTAAATTGCAACCTCGGTACTCTTTATGCTTCTCCAGTACTTCATGTACATCGCATGAGACTTTTTGGCCGTCGCTTCACTCTTATGCGAAGTCTCACCAGGGTCAGCTGCTTCATCCTTTCGGTTCTCATTGCCTTTCTCATGTCTGCCTTTTTTGCTGGGGCTACCCTTGTCTTTTGTGGGCTGCAAGGACAGAGCTTTCTTGTTCAGGGAGATCTTCCCTTTGGCTTTTGCTGCAGCTGCTTTCGGTCTAGTCTTGCTGATCTTGCTGGTTTTGCTGGTCTTGCTAGTCTTGCTAGTCTTGCTAGTCTTGCTCTCTTCTGCTTCCCTTTCAAGTCGTTTCAATTTTGCTTCATCCAAGTGTTTCTTCATTCGCATGAACTGGGCTGACGGCTTCTTCGGGGTTGTCCTGCAAGCTACTTTCTCCTTGGCTGTCTTTCCCTTTGACTTGCTCTTCACCTTTGCTTCTGCTGCACTAGTCTTCTCAACATCTTTCTCGCTTGCTGAGTTTGTGGTGGGTGTTTCATCTTGGCTGCTGTCATTGTTCGTGAAGTCAACTGTTGGTGCAGTAGATAGTGTTGGTGATTTTGGGGACTTGACTGTTGGTGCATAACTCAGTGGTGTTGCAAGCATGTCCACAGTTCTCACACGCCTCAAAGCTGCCTTTTCAACTGACCCCAAAGTCTCTGTGGAATCACCAGTTTTCAGTGTCTTTTGTGAATCACCTTTAGTGAACAGCTTGCGACGAACTCGGCACGGGGTCGCAACTGGAGCTGCAGGACCTGGGAATCACTCGATCTGAATGTGGCTGGAGGCACCAAAGTTTAGACTTGAGGTATGGACCGCTGGGGTTCTCAGCATTGGTGGCAGGAGAGTTGTCTGGCCTTATTGATGCATGGATAATGGTAATGGTATTTATAATTATCGTATACGTATATTACTAGAACTGAAGTGCAATCTTGGGCCCAAACTCATCTTTGGGCGATGCATTGATCTTTGCACTAGCTCTGGCAGCCCTTTCTTTGGCTTTTTCTAAGAGATCTTCGACTACCCCCATCGTAGAACAGGGGTATAGCTGGACAGCTACGATCCGATGGCTGCAACTGTGAATCACAAAAAAAAACAAGTTTTTTCACTGATCAAGGTGACCCTAAAATCACGGGTTTTTCACGCACTTTCACGGTGTTTTCACGGGTTTTTCACGCACTTTTCACGCTTTTTGTTTGAAATCATTTTTTGTGAATTGAAGTGTGAAAATCGTCTTTTACGACACACTTTTGCAGCATTCGAATTGGATACCAATTAGAACATCGCGACTAGCCAGTGGAAAACTAGAAGTCCACTGGGAAAGAAGGCACATACCGGCCACATGAGATTTCATGTTTGATGTACTCCTTCAGGGGCTCTAGGTCAGCATGGACCCAGTCGTAGGGTCCAGTCCTCTTTCTGGTTGGCGCCTGCACCAAGTGGCAGTTGATTGGATAACTATCCTTAAAAGATGTACAAACCAAGGTTGTAGAGGTATTCACTGATATAATTAAACAAGCCTGCATTGAAAGAGCTTTCACAGCCGCCATGAAATTAAATCGGCGTTTCTTTCCCTAGGTTGTGACCATCAATCAATATTGAACTTGTGGAATTGAATTCAAATCATTCACGGTTGTAATTCTATGCAATGTCTTGATCACTCTGAGAACTGGGCCATCTCCTTGAGATGCAGTTTAGCCACACGTCGGCCAAACTTTTCTGGATAGACTTGTGTTTCACGCAGCTTTGGTCCTCCTGACCTGAATAGCTGAACCCCAAGAAAAGTATATCTAAATATATCTAGACTGCAGAACTAGTTGCAAATATATCTGAGAATGAGACACAACTACTTTGCCAGTAGTGCGGTTCACTGCCCGCTTGGTTACCCCTGTAGAGTCCAGTTGTAGTTTCACCCGGTCTTTGAAAGAAAGCTTTCGATAAAGCTTCGATGCCCACTTCCTGAGTCATGCTCCCAATGAGTTCACCAACCACAGAGAGCACTGGCTGAGGCACAAACGTTGTTCCTATGAGCAAGGTTGCTTTGGCCGTTCTCGACCCCCACCAGGCCATCCAACTGGGCACATGTGGAGAAAATCGTGTGGAAATATACCACCTGATTTTTAATCACATGAATTCCAGATTCAAAAACTCAGCACCCTACAAGCGGTTGGTTCGAATGGGCACAAACTTCTCCATGACCCTTTCCAGGTGTTTCAGGTAAGGGTAAAAGACAAATGTAGAAGATCCTGGCTGCTCTAAATCCCAATGTACAGATCTGGCCGTACATAGGGCACAAAGCATCAGAGTTCTTGTCGCTAGCCTCAGTTAACAAGGCAATGCAAGGCCATTGAGAGTGAAATATATACATGCGCATGCTATAGCATATAATATATATGATTATATATGTGGGTATATTAATCGTCGTATATAAAACATAAAAAATTGTGATTGTTCTCAAGCCTAATGACAAATTCGCTTGTCGAATGTAGAGCTTCAACTCATCACCCAATGGTGTTTCTGCAGATCGCATGCTGGTCGATCGGTTCAGCCATATGAATGAACAACAAGGAAGGCCCCCAAATAGGAGCCCAAATTCAACTAAGCGAAGTGTGTACTCGATGGCCAGCATCCAGCCAGACCTGATTTTTGCTTTCAAATCAAAATTGCATCATCCATGATAATTTTTGTCAATTCTGGGATCCATGCACTGTTGACAGATCGTGATCTGGGCAAGTCTCCTTCTCGAAGTGCTCCCTCGGATAATATAGTAATTATATATTTATTGCATGCTATACCTACCCAGTAATTGGTGGGATCATCACATCGATCTCATGATGATCAAGAATCAACCAAGTTCTAGAATCCAATGGCTCTGGTCTGGGCCCCAAGCACACGGCAACCTCCAATATGGCCTGGGACTATTCAGGCTGCAGGATTTATTATAGAGATCATGAGAAATTTCTGGGTTACACACTGAAGGATCGACTGATAGCTCTTTTACCGGCAAAGAGATCCAGGTTTGTGAAATCCTGATGCATGTAGATCGGAAGAGTGGAACCTAGAGGGGATTTAAATAACTGATCACGCAAGTTTGCAAATTGCTTCAGTTTTAATTCTCAGCCAATGGCCCTGGGATAGTCACTCCGCTGGGCAATCAGGTCGCAGCAGTGAATACTTAGCCGATTCGAACATCAGAAATTCAAGTTTGGCTTCAGGTGGCAAGTGTTCAACCCCAAAGCCATCAAGTGAAATGACGTTTCGAGGCCCCCACAAGACTAGAGGCAGTCCCATTATCAAAAGGCATTGGACTTGGCTCTTCGTGAGAGCCAATGGGCTTTTTTCCCAATCCCCACAACTATACATCCTTTGAAATCCTAGTTAGGCCTGGAGCTTGAGCACTAGAATTGGAATTTCATACAAAGAGCAAACTAATTGCGATGAAACAATTGGCATGCCATGCATTTTTTTTCGAGATATATCCCTCTCTCTCTTGCTAATTGTCCGATCGTTTTTTTTTCAACCGTGCAAGCCCATGTCAGGAACCTTCGACGATCGGTTTCCCACAGCTGGGGTCCCTAAACTGCGGGGAAGTTGTGGTCATCCACTCAGTCAGTCCATCCTCCAATGAACTTTGCAGCATCGAACCTGCAGCGCACTTCAATCAGTTTAGAGTTAGGTCCACGGGGAAACCAACTTCGATGAATATTCTAGGGTTTGGGCGCTTCATGGAGGCTTTCAAATTTGGACCATCCCAACGTAAGACCACCTCTCGCATTGGCCTAGCATGAGCATGCAACTTTATAAAAATTTCACATACCAGTAGGGGTTTAAAAAGAAAATCGAATGAATTTCTCATGGATATGCAATTCTGTTGCCACTGAATTGGCACTTGCCTTGAAACCTGCTCCATGCTGACGATTGAATTTCGTGAGATTGCCAGAGTTCACTGCGTTGATATAAAATGATCGAGCATATAGCCTTAGTCCCGGCCATTGAATGTTGAACAATTTGTAATTAGAGATGTTTCTGGCCACAACAATGTACAATTCTGATGATCATGAGGTCAGCACACCACTCCAATCGTCGTCAACTTTTCGTCCTCATCATCAGGGCCTGGAGGACTGGTCAAAGTCCATGACCTGGGCAGCCGGGCAGGTTTATTTTGGAGTATCCATAATCCAAAAAAATTGGGGCCCCAACTTCGCAAGTTCTTCAGGGATATACAAAAGGGCATCCTTCTTGGCTATTCGGGTGAGCTCTTCAAGATCAGCTTTCATGCGGTCGGTAAGGATCAACGGCGGGTCCTGCAAATGAAGAAAAAAGAACCACCAAGATCGAAGATGGTGATAAAATGGTATTGGAAACTTGTTCAACTGTTCAGCTCAAAAGATTTGGAGTCCTCAGTTGGTGTTTTCTTAGATTTCTTTGAAGCCGGCTTCTTCATCATGGGTTCTTCGTCCTGTTTATCCTCATCCTCTGCTTGTCGTTTTTTCTTGGGAATCAGGTTTGGGACTGGTTGGGGTTTGTTTTTTGCTCTTCCCCTTCCCCTTCCCCTTCCACCAGCTCTGCCTCTTCCTCGAGCACTTGTACCACGACTGCTGGCACTGGGAATCTTACTTGCTGGTTTCTTTTTTGTGTCAACATCACTGGAAACAACGGAAGAATCCTCACCACGCTCTTCATCAGGCACCTCACCACTTGCTTGCTTCAGAACTTTTTGGGCCTGATGAAGACATTGGTTATTGTTGAGAAGGTGTGGGGTCTGACATGAACATCTGAGTGAAATGAATTAATAATTTCAAATCAAACGAATTCGAATAGGAAGCCTGGAGGATATCTTCGTTAGTATTGCCATCCTCTTTGACCAGCGACGCAAAACTTTCTTCAACAGCCTTGGACAACTTCCCAGGTTTCTCGATGTGCCTGTCCCGGTCCTGGCATGGCAATGGAGCAACACGAGTCTAAAGAATTGGTTCATGACTTATGGATTCCACTTTTTTTGAGAATTATACCATGGCCATGAGGATTGTAAACATAATTTGCACGGTCGATTTGTGTTTGTGTGTGATTGTGGCTCCTTATATGTACCCTTCGTTTTATCATCTTCATCTTCCTCCTCATCTTCGTGTTCCTCTTTGTCTTTGTTACCTTTATCACCTGAACCTGTTTTGGGAACATCAAAATCACTGGGATCCACTATCTCATCTTGAGTCGGTGGCTCTTCTTCTGCTTGCTCAGGACGAACATCCGTGCCACGAGCAGCAGAAGAAGCAGCAGCTTTGCTGGTATCAGCCTCGGCGTGCGCAGTGGGGTCAGGCTTTAAAATCAGTTACTAGGGCTTCAAAAGTTGTTCACACAATTTTTGAATGAAAGAAACAACAACGCATATTGTTTGAGGGATGTACACTGCTGTCATTTTCTTTGACTTCTGCCTCTTTGTTTTCTGCAGCCTGCAGCAAAACGGTGTATACATTAAAAAACTGGTGGTGACTGCGCTATATAGCTGTGAAAACATTGGGGATAAATCTAAATATTTATCAATGCAGTTGGAAGTTCATTCATAGATTTCATTGTAACGGGCTAACGTATATTCCACGGAGATTGCTACAATAAATTACTTCTAGCTGGACAGCAATTTTCTCAAAGACAACTCAATTTTCCTGGCCTCCTTAGCTGCCAGCGCTATTTGCTTCAGCTGATGCATGGCCTTGTGGCCTTTCCTGCGAAGATTGGTGACCAAATTTTTAAATCTAGTTTCCCACCAACGTTGTGATCAATAGGAAAGTTCATGCATGCGGTCCTGGCTGATGTGTTGCGTCTGAGTCTGAAGAGAACATAGCCAGCATACGCCCGAAGCATGGTGGCTTCATAGTCTGACCACGCCTGGTCAAACAAAGGGATAAGAAATAAATTTCTCAACTATTTGAACCTCCATTCCAAATTCTTTGGGTATATCCTTTGGCCTGGCTAATATGACAGTATCCCCTGGTAGGCCTCTCTCTTCGTTTTCGTTGCTTTGTCCTTCGGGTCAAAACTATTCAACCGAAGGCTCTTGTCGATGGCGACCAGAGCGGCCTTGCCACAGCTATGTCATCACAGGACAGGATTTTGGGGATGGTTAAAAAACAAATAGATCTTGAAATCCAATTGGTGCAGCCTTCACTTCTTTCTGCGTAGGGGGGTTCGGAGCAAAGCTGGCAAGGTAGGTGCTCACGACACTGATGTTGTTTTTGGTCATGGTCACCTGCAACAGGAAATTCTGAAACAAGTATTAATCGTCGTTTGTAGGTTTATTGGTGGGGCTTGCCTGCTTTTCGTCAACTTTGGAACTCGACTTGTCCAAAATCTGAAAACCTTTCACCTCCAGAGCCGACAGGAATAGACACAGCAATGCTAACAAACACCAATTACGTTCTTCATGATTCATGTATGCAGTTCTATTGATATCGATCGATATAAAATGGTTATGTGTATGTATAATGGCCTTCTTTCCCTGATCTTTCAATTTTTTCACGATCTTCAATCGCTGGTTCACATACTCCGGGGTGAATATGTCCCTGAAAAGTTCCTGCCAAGAGCATGGCATAAAACATGTGTTGTGATTCAATCATAATGATCATCACGGTAATAATTATCTTGAAAAAAATATACAATTCAGTTTGACGATCCCTGAGCTGAGCCATACCCCACTTTCATTCTCCTCCAATTGAGCAACTTGCTCAGGATTGGGTTTGCTGTCCGGCATCGCGGCGATGGTGGCACCAGCAGAACAGCTCCCTACCTAGCCCCTTCACAATAGATATAATTAGGGATTGGGATATAACTAGATAACTACCTGATTTCTGTCGATCATAATAATTATAATAGGATTTGGGTATACTCTTGATGAGGCTAAACCAGTTTGAACCAATTTGAACCAATGGGCTAAAAGAAGTGCACATGTAGATCCACCATGCTGCACACTGCACACTAGATCTCAATCCACATGCAGAAACAATGCAACCCAGGGGATGAGGTGCGCACCTGCATCCTGATTTTCCTCATCATCATCATCATCAGTTGAATCGCCTCAACAAAATGATAAGGGAAAAATTCTACTTGAAAAATTTGAGGAAAAATAAACTACTTGAGGTTTAGGCCACGAAATCGGGCAGCGCGGTACATGACCTGGGCAAGATACTTAGTGAAAATTCCTTGGATGTTCCCCAGTAGTCCTGCAAATTCTGAGTATCAGACCCATCAACGGCCAATGCAGTTGCAATCTACTCCCATGACTATCGCTGATGATGCTCACTATATGTTTACACTATCCCTGCAATATACATTATTTTTTGAGGGGATCATCAATAGTGAGCATCTTGAGCCTATTACAAGTGGGCCATCTCATGAGGTTCATCATAATGGATCAGTTTTAGAAGAACGTTGTGAAAGGTTCCTGGGAAACGAGCACTTTAGCAAAGTGCTTGGTAAACGAGCACCTAGAAGTTCAGGGACCGGTAGGCACCCATCAAATACTTGTGGTGCCAACAATTGCGGCAGAGATACCCTGCCATCAATCTGCAACCACCACCCAACTCCATGTAGTTCTGAGTGTCCCAACGGGTCCCAGCATTGCTTTCATTAACCAATCCCCTCGAGTGAATCTGTTTCGCGTTCGAGCCTGGCAGTCTCGAGAATTCGAAACTGGTTCTCGAGAAACATATGGCTGTGTCCGAGACTGTTGTATTTCAGCCCACCAAAATTGGACTAATAGGGGTACAATGATGATTAGCTGATTGGCCACCCTATTTGCACAGGTCCATGAGACTCCCAGCAGGTTTAAGAAGAGATCCACAAGGTGCAATCCAGTCTTGCAAAAGTCTTCAGGGCCTTGGCCACAATCTTGGCCGCAGATTCCCCATCCCCGAAAAATGCCATGGTAACTTACAGTGACTTACAGATCATGATCCCCCAAATTCCATGGCCGCCGCCTTTTTCAGTACCTCCAGCATTTCGCTGTAGTAGTCATCCGTCACATCCACCTCAGGCAACGCAGTCGGAGAATTCTTTGGATTTTGAAATGTTGAACCAACAGTGACCACAAAAAAAATACTAGAAATAGGACGTCTACTAAGGAAAATATGGGGATGTAATAATCAACAAAATGATACAAAATGGGGTATTTGGGGCGTGTCTGAAAATGTGGTGTACTGTACACTCCCATCTTATGACAATTTTGACTATGATGAAATAACCAGTGGATGGAATGGAATTGGGTAGCCTATTTCGAGACAAACCCTAAGCCACTTGGAAATGTCTCGAAATACCAAGTCCAATCTTGGGAAACTTTTGGTAGCTCCTTGGTTCCCCACTTGAATGTGGAATAGTATGGGTACCCATAGTTCCTAAACGCACCTTTTTCATGTCTCTCCGTGGATGAAATCTCTCAAGGGAAAAGACCTTCTTGGAAGGGCTTTCAAAACCCTGCGGGTGGCCACAACGGCTCCAAAACCAAATCCCACAGGATAGATGATCTACATTTGATCATACCATAAACATCCATAAACTATAGTTTTTAGCTATCTTGGGCGCCCCACCTTGTAAAATTTGCTCCGATGCCAGGGATTTTCACCACCAGGTCTACCCCTGAGCCACCCGGCAGAGCGGAAACGCTCATCGATGGCATTCAAGTAGCCCACAGCATCTTCATCGGCCGTACAGGCCATGATCTGCACCTGTGAAAGCTCGGCGAGACCTACTGTGGATGGAAGAAATCCTGCACCACCTTGGATGGTTGAAACCCTATGGGATAAACCACCTATCAACTGGTGCACGATTTCTTCCATCCACTGTAGTTTTTCAGGAAGTACCCTCTGGTTATTTAACATAGCAATGGAAAGTCCATGAACATCCACCATGATTTCCATTGTCACGTTTGATTACCGGAGGGTATATAGATCAATGAATCCGTGAAAAACTAACGATGACAACCCGCGAAAACTAGAAAAGTAAAATCCTATTGATAATTTGTGTTTTTATATTGGGTGGTTCCTATAGTTTATTACGTATAAATTGATATCGCATCTGTATGGGTTATTTATCTTGACAACTCCTTCCCGAATTGGTTCAAGGAAAACGTCACAAAGGTTCACCCACATGAGGGGGGTTCCACGTATTTCCGAGTACGTGTGTATATATATATAGATATATTATAGTTCTGATATGGTCTCATTATATATTATATATGTATGATATATGCATATATTCTCATATATTATTGATATTTTAATGATGTACAGTACAGCCATTATGAATTACCATTCTCATAATCATAACCAGCATGAATTGCTATCATTCTCATTTAAAAATCGAGATCCAACCAGCTGTCGCCCAGCGACACGCGCCTTGACGGTGGCATTGGTGGATTTCTTCGTCACCAGGCCTGAAACAGAATGCCATCGCAAGATGCGTGTCATTATAATATAGTTATTGAATGTTATTGATACCTCCGGTAATCAGACATAGCAATGGAAATTCCCTACAAATGGAAGTTTCGCAAAATCATCGAACTAGATGGTGGATTTTCCATGATGACACCGGAGGGTAAGCCAGTTGATGGGCTGGCAGACGCCTTCCCTTCCACCCGAGCCCTAAAAATCCGCATCCCAGCTGCGCTTCAACTCACGTTCGAAGCGGCCCACGCCGCCATTGGGCTCTCCATCCTGGGAGCTAGGCTCTGGGGCTCCGTGAAGGAAGGGGGAATATTTTCAGACATGTTTGGCAATAAAAATTGTTCCCTCCAACCCGGACGTTGCTCCACACCTCAAGAGAATCATCATCATCATCATCATCATCATCTTTCTGGTGCTTGATAGGGAATGCGGGAATGATCCAAAGGATCCAATCCATATCCTCAACTTATCTTCATAAAGGAAAATTTGCCACCCCCTCTGACTTATATGTTGATGATAATAAGAACATGAACTTATCTTGTTAAGGAATCAAAATCCGCCACCCCCTCTGACTACTACGTTGACAGGGATCATAACATCAACTTATCTTCATAAGGGATCAAAAATTAGCACCCCCTCTGACTTATATGTTGATGACAATAAGAACATGAACTTATCTTGTTGAGGGATCAAAATCCACCACTCCTTCTGACTACTACGTTGACAGGGATCATAACATCAACTTATCTTCCTAAGGGATCCAAAATTGGCACCCCCTCTGACTTATATGTTGATGATAATAAGAACATGAACTTATCTTGTTGAGGGATCAAAATCCACCACTCCTTCTGACTACTACGTTGACAGGGATCATAACATCAACTTATCTTCCTAAGGGATCCAAAATTGGCACCCCCTCTGACTTATATGTTGATGATAATAAGAACATGAACTTATCTTGTTGAGGGATCAAAATCCACCACCCCTTCTGACTACTACGTTGACAGGGATCATAACATCAACTTATCTTCCTAAGGGATCAAAAATTAGCACCCCCTCTGACTTATATGTTGATGACAATAAGAACATGAACTTATCTTGTTGAGGGATCAAAATCCACCACTCCTTCTGACTACTACGTTGACAGGGATCATAACATCAACTTATCTTCCTAAGGGATCCAAAATTGGCATCCCCTCTGACTTATATGTTGATGATAGTAAGAACATGAACTTATCTTGTTGAGGGATCAAAAGCCACCACTCCTTCTGACTACTACGTTGACAGGGATCATAACATCAACTTATCTTCCTAAGGGATCAAAAATTAGCACCCCCTCTGACTTATATGTTGATGTAATATATGATATATGTGCCATGTACTGTTATATACTTCGGCCACTTCTGATTCCGACGCGGAGCAACGTAGGGGTTGCAGCGAAATTGTTTTATCCCCACTGGAATTCATGATTAAATCATATGAAACCTTCATGTTTTTGATGATTCAACATATTCAACCCCCTATACGATCATTGAATCATCGGCTAATTGGAATCATCCCAGACTGAATTCTCATGAAATCCAAGCGACTGTGAAGATCATCAGCAAGATGGGCCGTTCGCCTGGCAAACCATGGGAAAATTATGGGGAAACCATAGGAAAATCATGGGAAACTACGGGGAAACCCAAGATTTTTTGAGACTTACAACTTGGCCCATTGTTTTCTCCGTGTCAAAAACGTTTCAAGAGAGGATATTTCCATGATATTCCATGATACCTGATTCACGATTCAATATCCAGGCGATCTGTGTGTACGTCTTTTCGGATAAAAAATCCCCAAAGATATCCCAATGATGCCCAACAAAATCAACATGCTCAACCAATAATCTAACTTTCCGTTTTGCAGTCCTTAAATTCTGGCAATTAAACATGCTCAGATAGATCTGATACTGGCAGGTAACAAAAAGACTTAGGTTTCTGATATCTAAACTCTAATGATGCCTGTCAATCTGATAATCAAAGAGTTATCGAAAAATCATTGTAAGATACCGTAAGTACAATATAGTATAATGGTATAGTTCTATCATGTTCTATCCCATTACCCTCTGGTAGTTTAACATAGCTATAGAAAATGGCCCATTTAGTTCGTTGATTTACCTATGCGAAATGGTGATTTTCCATAGCTATGTGAGTTTACCAGAGGGTATATCCATTAATATCCCAGTCTTCTCCCATCATTATCCCATTATCATCGAAATTAAATCCAATCAAAAACCATCTTAAACCATAGTAAACCCATTATATCCAATGAAAATCTCTATTTTCCTTGGTGAAATCACCATTAAATCACCATTAAATCACCATGAAATCACCATGAAATCACCATGAAATTGGTGAAATCACCATGAAATCCCCATTCAAAGCCCAATTTCATGCCACGAATTTCTCTCCGCCTGCACAGTTCTGCGCCACCGTCAGCAGGGCTTCGGTCAGTGGCGTGGAGCCCCTGGGAGGGGCCTCACCGGATCCACCATGGCAGGGACGACCCAAAGCCCCCCAAAAAAATGGTGGATTTGACCCATGAGATGTTGCTGTTTAAGAAAATGACCTATGATTTTGTTTGGGATCATAATGATCACAAGAAAACATTTAACTGATGAAAACCATGATGGATGATATATATATAATATATATATAATATATATATAATATATATATATATAATATATATATATGGTTTGTAATGGAAAATACGATTAAAATGGATGATTAATGTATGGATGATCTATGATTTACTAAGGGATATAAACCTACATAGAAAACTGATGAAAAAACGATTTATATATGGATTTTTGTTGATTTTGAGGGTGTTAAATTGGGTTTACTGAGATCTAATGGGATATAGATTTATGGGATATTGATATGGAGGTGTCCTAACATGGTGGGTACCCCAATAGCTGGATTGTTTATAATGGAAAATACGATTAAAATGGATGATTTGGGGGTACCCCCATTTTAGGAAATCTCCAGATATGTATGGATTTAACAATTTTAATGGTGTTACATTGGGTTTAATGAGATCTAGTGTGGGATATCATGGAGGATTTATGGCGACTTGACCAAGAAAAACGGGAAATGGTGAGCAACATGGGGAGAACCAGCCACTGATAGGGTGGGCATTCCGGAAACTGAAGCAAGAAATGATGGCAAAAAAATGAGTGGCAAGGAGCAACACAAGCAGGGGATTGAGTCAATACGGAATTGGCATGTAAACAGCAAAATGAACGTCTTACTGAAATTCAGGAACCACAAAAGTGTGAACGCGAGCCATAAAGAATAAAGCGCCTGCCACTCACGAATTGTCATCTCCAAACCCAAAATCATCTTCGCATATTCCACACATTGGATGACCCATGCGACCTGCCAGATGACTTCCAGCATATGGACATCAGGATTTACTACACCTGACAACGGAAAATCCACTAATGTGGCATCCACCCAATGTCATAAACCATCCCCAAAATCACAGTATATATGGGTACTATGCCTACCATCCCAGTTCTATCACATCTATCCTGTCAAGTCGGCCTGGAAGGCTGACAAGAGCCGCGGGTCTTGCGGGCTCCTTGGGATGTTTGGACAAACTCGGCGCAGGTGGGATGTGGGGCCCCAAAAATTATGCCACTTGAATCTTATAACTGGAACTGCACCCCCAAGCAAGTGTTGGAAGTGGGATCGTCTTTCCAAAGAAAATGAAAATAAGAAGATTTCCGACACACGCACACACACACAGAGATCTGCCATTCAAATTACGCATCTTTGAGATATGATAGGTTCCCCAGTATAATATACAGTACACAGACATACATAATACTGCCCTTACGCTTTGCTCCAAACCACTACCCAAATATCAATGAATCGCCAGAGGCGCGCTGCTCGGTGTCCAGCAGAAAGAAGTGCTGTGTGGACTGATGATACGCACAGATAACATCACAGAAAAATGCCCACATATGTCTGCCTATTTGGAGGTTTCCTAAAATGGTGGTACCCCTAAATCATCCACTTTAATAGGATTTTCCCTTATAAACCATCCATTTTTGGTACCCCCATTTATGGAAAACCCTATTTAGTTACTAAGTGCTCAAACTAGTTGAACAGACTCCAGTCTGTTACCCCAAAATATACCATTGCGTCATGGCGTACCAGTCTTGCTCAAAACTGCGGTATATAGTACCCAATAGGTTCACACCTATGGCAGTTTTTGGCGCTTTTTCACCTCACAATTCCGGTGGTCAACCAATATCGCGGGAGCCAATCAGAAACTGAAACCAAAAAAACACCCATAAACAATTATATCATATCTATATATATATATATATCTATATATATATACAAAGATACAACAAAAGTAATCAGTCTTCCCCCATAGATCTACGCAACTGAAATGATCAGCCTGTCTGCTTTGTGGGTCACATCCTCCCGGTCTGCAGCTCAGTTGCTTCACACCTCAGGGCTGATGGCTCTGGTCACACAGGAATTTAAAATTCAAGATGTATTTCAGGATGGATCAAGGAGATACCCAGAAAGACTTCAGATGTGTTGCATTGTGTTTTTTGAAGTGCCATTTTTGGTATCCAATTCTGAACCATACCCATTTGGCAGGATGTGATTCCTATCGTGGTACACAGTAAAGACATCTGGAATCCATCCGATTCCCTGCTTTTCGAATAGAAATTCCTATGTCCGACAGTGCAGAGTGCACTGTAGACAAGTACAACTGAAGCACGTCTTGGATTCTCATTTGAGGATCCGTTTCAAAGCTGTACCCCCTGATCCAAAAAGGATCTTTAAAAAAATAGGGATCGATTTCGTCTACCTTTGGAGGTTGATACCCAGAGCGTTCACTGGATGGTTGAGCAACCCACAAAAAGTAGTTCTTTATTTCATAATTTGAACATTTTTTTGGGTCATTCCCAACAATTCACCCAGCTTCATGGCGCCATGAATCACCCAGATCTTCCATTGCGGTCCTCTGTGTCTCAGGTTCCCCATGGTTCCCCATGTCCCTAAGGCTGGTGCCATCGATGAGACCGCGATTCAGAAAAAAACAATCCACCCCAGACCTGGGCGAAGGACCGGTCTGGAAAATGGGGATATGTTGAAGGGATATTTTAAGGCAGGGATATTTTAAGGGATATCAAGGGGATACACTACATTAATACATAATGGCCCCAATTGCCCTTGAACAGGTAATCTACAAATGACGATTCTGAATTGCTAGTAGATTGTGAAAGAGATCGAAAAGGTACACGCGATGATATACTTAGTTACAATACCATTTGTTGACATCTCTAGCAAGAACAATAATTTTTGCGTACGCAACTAGTCTATGATCACAAGGTCATTGTCACTGGGACAATGTCAAGGCTGTAGTATGGTTGCTGTAAAAATTGAGGGTACAACTGGGCAAACTAGACTTGTCATGTTTCCTTTTTTAATCCAATTTCGAGGGTCAAACCCGTGCTTCTAGGAGGGTTATATCCACATGTTTTTTTTGTACATATCCTTTCATGCTTTTGTGCAGCTTCTCGAAGATGTCTGCCAGGCCTATCTAGAGCTTCAGGAAAATCTGCCCAAACAAAAGGTTCTTGTGCCAAAGTTTTCTGCATGCGTTGCTGCATCCCCATGTCCAAAAAGAAGTGGAATTCCGACTGCTTCAGCTAAATGTCCCCAACAACAAGGTTCTTTTGCCGCATGCAGCACCAGCACTGTCACAGAACTCATGGACAACATGACACAACGAGCCTGGAAGGATCCGGAAACACCACGCGCAAGACCTACCTACAGGCCAAAATGGCATGAACCAACGAGACATGGTTAAGAAGTTAAGCACTCGACATAGGTTAGAGTTGGCACCAGCAAGATGTACTTAAGGAGCAACAGTTGCGATTAAGAACCGCTGTGGGGGGGGGTATTATACTGTTATACCCACTAATTATATATTATGTGCATCACCATGATATACCCACTATATCCTGTAGTGGTTGTATCACATCAATGGTGGGTAAAACTAATCATCCCACTAAACAATCATGGACTGTTATCCATTTTGACTTAGACTTAGTAATAGGTGTTAAGAAGTATGTTTACATAGATATATATATATAATATATATATATATATCATATGTATACAGGACTTAGTTACGAGAGATGTTAAGGACATTACTATTACAGTACCCATGTCATCCCGTTGCTTTTGCCACCAACGTCGTCGTTGAGGCGCTTGTCGAAGCAGCAGGCCAGCTCCACCAGTAGCGCCACCGTCTCTTTCAGCTCCTACCGTCGCTGAGATTTTGGGGGGAGGGGGATGGGGATGGGATGGGATCTGTGAGATGTTTTCTAGCGATTGTTTTTGGTTTGTTTTTGTTTGTTCTGATGTTTCTAGCTGTTTCATTTTTGGGGAATCTTTCAAGGGATTCTATAGATGAACCATTGGGGGGTGCTGGTGTTTTTTTCCTCAATCATGGGGATAGACTAGGGATATACAACATGAATATAATGGATAGGTGTAAAGAACTACATATCTGGATTAACTATGATAAACTACACTGGGTCATCAACCTGAAATAAGGCTACTTTGGGACAGTTTCCCCTACAAACCTTCCTTCCAGGTCGAATCTGCAGTGAGGTTCTGGTGATTTCGGGCACCAATGAGCTCGGATCCTGTGGGACGATAGATGTTGAGCGGAGATCACCATCAACCGCTGGGATTTCATAGAACATAAGTAACATAAGTAACATAAGTATCAACTAATGAGATTCTGTGAGATCTTATGGGATTCGATTGGTATGGGAAACAAAGTATCATGTAATCATCAATCAATGCAATCTTGTGGTATTTCTCAGGCGTTAGAGATGGGGTCTGGAAGATGAGATTCCGGATATTTCGACATGGAACTCGGATGAGTTTCTGAAGGGGTATTTGATATCGTTAATGCGTGTCAATTTTTTGTTAGCCTATGCGGATGACAAATGATAGGGTAGCTAATAGATCATCCAAAAAAAAAAAGTTGCTCTCTGGTCATTTAACATAGGGAAAATAAGCCGCTTGTGGATGATCTACCATGACCCAGCCAAGACTCCTCCCAGCGGGTTGTGGATGCCTAGCAACGGCCATGGAGAATGCAGCTGGATTTGGAGGCCAGCATTTTTCTCAAACGCTACTGCACACGGCTTTCCTCCAACTTGAATACCAACTGGGTCCAAATCGATCCAGTTCTCGTACTGTGAAATGATATTAGAAATCTATTGGAAAATCTATTAGAAATCTGATAGAAAAATCTGTTGGCATTCTTCATGGCCGGTATTTGGACGAACCAACATGGACAAATAACGTGCGCTATGTCGATCTCCAAAAACAATGTTTCTGCTGGTTAATGGATGTTGGTAGCGATTACACATTTTCTCCATATCAAGAATAACAGAAAAAACATAATAATAATAATCCAATCATGATGGTTATAATGATCTCCAGATTATTAGTTGTTTCTTCATTGTGTAGGGGTGAGTCCACTGCGATGGGTTTCTGAAACAACAGGATGGAAATACCAAGTCATCGCCTACCCAGTCGATGTGCACAGTTCAAAACAGGTGAAGCATCATGGTTGTAATCCACCTGATAGTTGTAGATGGATTACAACCATGATGGTTTACAGTATGTTAACTTCCACCTGGTGATATACAGAACACCCCAGGACGTTTTTGGATCACCAGGCCACCTGGGGTCACAGCTTCCCATTTTCTCCTGAGCCTTGAATCTGCGGTGAAATGTGGAAAAAAAACACCAATAAACCAGGCTATCACGGCTATCACCCTAATGTTCATTTTGTAACCACCCTATGAAAATGGCTTCATAATCCCAATTCATCCCAATTCTATAGCTGGTTTGTGGTTTTAACCATCTTGAAAAATATGAGTTCGTCAATGGGAAGGATTCTCCCATATATCAATGGGAAAATAAAAGTCATGTTTGAAACCACCAACCAGATAGACCTCTGGTAAACTAACATAACTATGGAAAATCACCACGTTTAATGGGAAAATTCACCATAATTGGCTATTTTCAATGGCTATGTTAAATTACCAGAGGGTAGACCTTTTTTTGCTCAGCCAACCACTTTTCGCACCCAAAAAAAACCTCCATCACCTCGGAGCTGGCCTGCATGAGGCTTCTCTGCTCAGGAGGTTTCGAGGAGGCGTTCATGCTCCCCGAATCGTCCAGGATTAATACCTGTGACCACCCCATTGAAAAACAGCTTTTCTGCAACGAAATTGGGTAAGAAAATATGCGGGGAAACGGTTGAAGCACCAAAAATCTGAATACACTTGGAAACAGTTGAATTCACTCAATTCAACGGTTTTTTTGCAGCTAAACACTCTAGGGTTCTAGAATTTGCTCAAAGTCCTCCATCAAAACCGGAGCACAATCTCATAGTCCTCCAAAACAACCAAGTCGTTTGCTTCTGCAATTGATACCTCAAAACCTGAGGCGCCACGTATGGCTGAAGGCTGAAGGGAACAATTGTGGGAAAGCATTCTGTTTGCTGGAATGGGGCCTTTCTGCTGATTTCCTCATCCGATTCTGGGAGGAACAAATAGATGCACCCTTCAAATCCAATATCATTGCCGTGTTTGCGTGTGCCCAAAACATCCCCATTTTTGATGGGAAAGCTGAGTTTCACCGTATGTCAACGTGTGTCACCATGGGTCACCATGTGTCTGTCACCTGCACAACTAAAATCGCTGGCAGTGTTGCTCTGAACAAACAAGCAGACTGTGCAGCGACATTCATCATGTAACAAACATCCAAAGATTCACTCAGTATTCCCAGCATGTTTGGCAAATAGCCATGGTGTATTTCATGGTTTCACGCCGTAAATCCTATATTCTTGCAACTAAGCTGTATGCGAAAACCGTTTTCCTGCTTGTAGAAATGTAAAAACCCAAATACCCCTGGTTGGTGTGATGTATTAATAGATCCTTACCATGTGTGCTCACATCACCCAAACGGCTGATTTGGAGCCCGCCTTGGTTCTAAAATATTGACGTAGCAATTCTGATTGGAATCATCACTATCTTCAAAAAAAAACGCGTTTCCTAAAATGCGGGATTGTTTGTTTGCTGGGAAAATCATGATACTTTATGATACTTTTTTACAATCACTGAGGTGATTTGGAGCTGATTCCCTTAGGATAATCCCGTTCTGAAAAATTAAAAAACTGTTTGAAACCAACGGTTGAACCACTGGATTCTGAGATGTTTTTATGGATCAAATATAACAAGATATGGATCAAATCCATCACATCCCCAGGAAATTCCCGACAAATTTCCATCCCATGCCCTAAAATACAATATATTATAATTCTCCATAACATCCCCAGTCATTTCCATAACATGTCTCTGTCCCAGCCACGGTTCAGAATCCGCTGCAGTTGCGCGTGCCGCTGGGCCGACATTGGAGAAGTCTGAGGTCCACCCCGGAGAGCGGTCGGCATCCTGACCGGTGTCTACCAGTTTGGGATCTACCCAGTTACGGTTACATATGTGTATACACATATATACATACATACATATGTATATATATAACATACATATATATAAAGGGTAGGAAATTGTTTGGGGATTTTTTTTTTTTTAGTTTGGGGAATTTTTTTTGGATTTCCGGTTCTCACCATTTTCCATGCTATTTGCAGCATTTTGGAGCTGGAAACTGCCATTTCCACGGTATGTGCAACGGTTTTGAGTTCGAACCTCTCATTTTCCATTGTATTTTCCACGGTATTTGCAACAGTTTGCAGCATGTTCTGTCCATTTTCCATGCTCTTTGCAGCATTTTTGAGCTGGAATCTGCATTTCCACCGTATGTGCAACATTTTACAGCTACATTCCTCACAGTACTTGCAGGATTTTGGAGCTGAAGGCTGACATTCCAACAGTTGTTTGTTGTTACTGTTACTGTTGTTGGTGTTGGTGTTGGTGGTGTTGTTGTTGTTGGTGTTGTTGTTGTTGTTGTTACCGTTAGTGTTGTTAGTGTTGTTAGTGTTGCTAGTGTTAGTGTTGTTAGTGTTGTTAGTGTTGTTGTATATATATATATATATACAACATATATATATATACAATATATATATATATACAATATATATATACAATATATATATACAATATATATATATATACAATATATATATATACAATATATATATATATACAACCCCCCAAAGCAGATTGGAAACACCTATTTTCACATGCAAGGTGCTAGGTTGAATGTGATACTCAAGGTGTATATACTACACGACATGCACCTTGGAAACATGTGGAATGTAGGTTAAGGCACAACGATGCACAATAGTTTCAATTGATGTTATCATCGAGTTGGTTTAAGATCTATTTATATAAGGTTTGGTTCAGGGTTGGCTTGGGGTTTGAATATCATCCGCATGATAATGCAAACCTTTTAGGTATATATATATACAGATATATATATATAGATATAGATATATAGATAAATAGATATATATATATTTAAAGATATATAGATATAAAGATATATGTATATATACATAAAGAAATATAGATAGATATATACAGATATATAGATATATGGTGGTATAAATATATATATATATAGAGATATAGATATATAGAGAGAGAGATATATATATATATAGATATATAGATATATAGTATATATATAGAGAGAGATATAGATATATAGATATATAGATAGATAGATAGATAGATAGATAGATAGATAGATAGATAGATATAGATAGATAGATAGATAGATGTATATAGATATCTAGATATAGATATATATAGAGATATATAGAAATATATAGATATATATAGAGATATATAGAGATATATATAGATATATAGATATATATATATAGAGATATATATATAGATATATATATAGATATATAGATATATAGATAATTATATAGATATATGATATATATATATAGGTATATAGATATATAGATACAGCCATAGATGTAGATATAGATACAGATATAGATAGACATAGATAGATATAGATACGGATATAGATAGGATAGATATAGATGGATATAGCTCCACACCTCATGGAAAAGCAAAAAAGCAAAGAAAAGCAAAAAAGCAAAAAAGCAAAGAAAAGCAAGAAAAGCAAAAAAGCAAAGAAAAGCAGAAAAGCGAGAAAAGCAAAAAAGCAAAGAAAAGCAAGGAAAGCAAAAAAGCAAAAAAGCAAGAAAAGCAAAAAAGCAAAGAAAAGCAGAAAAGCGAGAAAAGCAAAAAAGCAAAAAAGCAAAAAAGCAAAGAAAAGCAAGGGAAGCAAAAAAGCAAAAAAGCAAAAAAGCAAAGAAAAGCAAAAAAAACAAAAAAAGGAATAGAAGCAAAGAAGCAGAGAAGCACTGCAGGAGGCAATAGAGTAAGCAGGAAGAAATCCAAAAAAAAATCCCTAAACTAAAAAAAAAAAACCTAAATAAATGGCCCTCCATATATAAATATATACATACATTATATACATGTACATATGTATATATATACATACATATGTATATACATACATATGTATATACATACATATGTATATACATACATATGTATATACATACATATGTATATATATAATTATATCATATCCAGTTGTATAGGGGATATACCCAGCTCTCTGTCGGATTTCCAGTTCCATCAGGTGAGGATTTCATGCACATCCTTGACCAGTTCAGTGGACACAAGCAACATTATTGACCAACAGCATTAGGGATCTAGCCAGTTATCAAACCCAAATCCCAAACAACATACATGATTTGACGATTTGATGATTATGCAATAATATGTATAGCAATATTATACACATACATGATTTGATGACAATTGATGACTTTGATAAAAACCGGAAATATACAGCGCAGTTTACCAGATCATGTCTAGGGGAATCACTGCCATTTTTTTTCTGGAAGTCTGAAAGAAAACACCAGAATAACCCATATTTGGAGAATGGTTTAGGGATCTTTTTTCGGGTCACTTTGGGGCAATTTTTTCGGATTCCGGTTTGCCTTGTATTTGCAGCATTTGGAAGCTATAACCTTGCATTTTGCATGTAATGTTGCACGATTTTGGAGCTAAAACGTGCCAAATTGCCTAAAGTGTTCACCTTGCATGCTGTGTGGTATTTGTAACATTGGGAAGCTAACGCACTTAATTTTGCATTGTATTTGCGGCACTTAGTAGCTAAAGGCTACCAACCGCACGATTTTGAAGCCAAATCTTACCGATTAGGGTTTTCGTTCATTTTCTGCGGTATTTGCAACATTAGGAAACTAATTGGTTCAATATACAGGTTACCAACTTGAAAGGACATTTTAGTTGTTGTTAAAGATGTTGTTGTTGTTGTTGTTGTTGTTGTTGCTGTTGTTGTTGTTGTCGTTGTTGCTGTTGCTGTTGCTGTTGCTGTCGTCCTTGCTGCTGCGGCGCAAGCTTAGATTAATACTTAAAAAGCAGGAGGATTGGGGTAAGGCGCAGCGCCTTTTCTCACATGACATGCCGTAGGTTGACTATGGCAGCGTAAATATCATGCACAACATGCACCTTGTGAGCATGCAGAATGCAGGTTGAGGCACAAGCGTGTTGGGTGGAAATAAGTTCATTATATAAATGTTATCATAATGCGGGTTTAGGATTCATTTAGGGTTGGTTTAGGGTTTATTTAAAGTTGGTTTAAACTCTTTTTAGGGTTGGTTTAAGACTGATTTGGGGTTTGTTGAGGTCTATTTGAGCTTTGGTTTGGGTTGGTTTAAGGTTTATTATTTACTGATAACCTGCTGTATGTAGTACTTCTAACATATATACCTATAGATAATTTTGCATACAGTATATATATATATGCATATTATATACATGTATACAAATGATTCTATATATGCAGACTACTGTAATTATTTACAAGCGCAGAGAAGCAAAAAAGAAGAGCTGAGAAGCAAAAAAGCAGAGAAGCAGCGAAGCAGAGAAGTAGAAGACCAGATAAGCGAAGAGGCAGTACACCAGAGAAGCAAAGAAGCAGACAAGCAGAGAAGCCGAAAGCAGCAAAGCAGAAAAATCAAAGCGGAAAAACAATCCCAAAAGGTACCAAAAGCAGAAAAGCTTTGAAAAGCAATGGAAGGTCCAAAGAAAAAGGCACGCAAAATTTCCCAAACTGACCCCCTGGCCCTTAAAAAACAAAACCTTAAAAAATCACTTCCCTTTACTAAAACCCACTGTGTGAGATGTTGGGCTTGCCGATGGATCTAACAATTACTGTATATTAGGGCCTATTAGGGTGATGTTGAAAATATTTGAAAATGCTGTGCTTCAAATGCAGCTGAGATACTGCGAATTTGGCACTACGATGCTTTGTCCCAGTGGCTGATTGTTGTGGCCGTACCTAAGACGGGACTTCTACAGAGCACCTTGATGGATCCCGCCACATGGACCGCTAGAAAACACTGTAGGAAGTCTCCCAAGACGAGATCAGCTAGAAAACATATAGAAAACATGAGAAAAAGATACTCTCGCAGTGGTGAATGATGGTGAATGGAGGGAGCGCTTCGGAGCTCTCAAGAAATGGGGAGCCCCTCTGCCGCGTGGCATGTTCGGATTGGCCGCAGCGCTGGGCGGCGCAAAGCCCGACGGAGCAGGGCCCAACATCCCGTGGCCACGGCCCGACGCCATGGCAGGCGAAGGAATCGGCGAAGCGGCGAAGCCCTTTGGAGTGCCGATGGTTTCAGGAATTTTGTGGGTACAGTGATATAATAGTGATTTAATAGTGATATAGTGGTGATATCATGTGATATAGTGATGACATAGTGATGATATAGTGATGATATCATGTGATATAATGACATATTGGGATGCAACAGTGATATTTTCATGGGATATTGATGTTAGTAATGCCATAAACCACCCATATGGATTGATGATTTATCGTATCAAAAAAAAGAAGTTATTTTTGGGATGGTTTATTATTGCTCTGCCAACATTACTGATGCTTATCTGCAAACAAGTTGAATGTCTTGACATCATGTCGGTGATGTGTATAATGATGTTTAATTGTGCTGGTTGATGCTGACGTTGATTCATGTCAATGGTTCACAAGGTAGTGTTCAACATGTGAATGCGTAGGACTGTTTTAGCTATAGCACGTAGCACATCAATTCAACCCGTTGTGACCTTCTTGGGGGAGCGAAGCGGTGCTATTCGTGGTCTGCATCAGCTGGGCTGGCGGACTTGACTGATAGCAGCTTCAGCATGCAACAACGATATAGTGTGGGATCCACCCAATGCATGACTAGGGTTCATATATTTCATAAGCCTCGGGGAGGCTGACTATTATTGGGTTTACCACATGAATGGACTGAGATGGGTAGAATTCTTGAGGAGTCGAATCTTCCACCGCTTGGACGGACTGGTGACATCTTTTCAATCTTGTTTCTATATGCTCCCTTTAATGGATAAGTACACTGAAAGTTGGCAGCTGTACAAACATCCAAAGAAACCCAAATCCCCCAAAAATCCAACCACTTTGGACTTTTGGAAACGTGCCTGCCAATGTTTCTGCCACTAATGTTCTATCATTGTTTCATCCCACATGACCCTGTTCATTGTTTTTGAATGTTTTTGAATGTTGGCAATCAAACGTGGCTGGGAAATCCACCACTTTGAAACGATGATGTTCCCATATATTGTAAAATCATATTGTACATATATATATGCCCATTTCGATCGAGGATTTCCCTGCTAGCCATGTTTTTTTTATCGAATGCTATCTCCAAATTTTTCGTGAACCCAGAGGGACCAACACTTGGGTGATGGCCCCCGTGAACCGTGGGCTTATCCCATTGTTGATGGCGAAAAAAAGGATGGTTGCTTGGTGGCTCATCTCACTTAGTAGGCTAAAATCCTATATCCCATAATTAAGTCCTAAGTGGATTTCATATGATTTTATCACCCTACTTTCCTAGTTATAAGTGGATGAAACCTACTTATCCCACTAAATGAACCAATATGAACCAGGGATATCACCTACATCCACGAGCCGTCAATCTGGCCAGTGAGCACCGCGCATCCAGGCAGTGCCGCTGCGACGGCCGCCAGACTCGGTGGAACGCAGTGCGCACGTGGGGATGGCGACAAGTTGGGGAGATGGGTGACATCAAAGCATTACCCTCTGGTTATTTAACATAGCCATGGAAAATTGCCCGTTTTATAGATGGTTTACCTATTAAAAATTGTGATTTTCCATGGCTATGTTAAATAACCAGAGGGTATATATTAATATATTAGTATTATAATGACTATTGTTATTGTGATTATACTATCTTAATCTATCTTATATATAATAGTACAATCACTTTGAGCATGTGTGACTAATAATACGGCAAGACCCTATGGTTTGCCCGCAAGGTTAGAATGAAGTTCAAATATTATCCTTCGACATGCTCAAAAACCTGCGCAGGGCCAGTGGTTTGGTATTTACCAGACGACGAACCCTAAACTCTGAAACCCTAAACCCTAAAACCCTAAACCCTAAAACCCTGAAAACTCAGAATCCGAAGCAGAAAACACTGCGTATACGCAGTATTTTCTTCTCTTCTCATGTTCGACGACAGGGAATCCTCAATGTTGCAGTCCGGGCAAACCACGGGGTCTGTGCGTAATAATAGTGTATGTATGTATGTATGTATGTATGTATGTATGTATGTATGTATGTATGTATGTATGTATGTATGTATGTATGTATGTATGTATGTATGTATGTATATACAGTATAATCACTTTGAGCACGTGTGTTTTTTGGAATCATATGTCATCGAACAAGTCTTCAAGGTTGCTACTTAGCGTCCCATAGTTTTCAGGATTCGAAGCTATGTCCAGTAGATCAGTGAAGATTGAGATTATATAGAGATCACTATATTAGCCTATTAAGACTAAGGAGGAGCTCCCAGCCAGATTGACTACCCAGAGAATAGTCAGAGAATAGTTGTTTGGCTCTTTCGACCAATCAGATGGCTTATCATCCCCAAATTGGCTTGAAAAAAGACATGATTGAAACTAGTTGAAACCACTCACTGTTCACCAACTGACAAATCTTTCGCCAACGAGTGCATGTTACCATGCTTTTTCACACCCCATCCTCACCCGGTCCGTTCAAGGTGAACAACTAATGCCCGGTGAACTTCTTTTCTGCGCGCCACACTTGGGAAAGAGATGGCCACATGAACCAGGTAAACTAAGAGAAATTGGTATAGACATGGAAAACCCTGGAAAACTTCTCTGAATACATGATATTTTTGTTGGGTCTTTTTGGACTTTCGAAAAAATCGATGTTAACTGGCTGGAGGTTTCCAAAAATTGTCAAATTTCTCCAAATTTCTCCAACTGCATTCCTCTAGATGATGTGACCCAGTGTCTACCGGCTCGTGCCATGTGACCCAGGTCACGTGTCTATGGCGCATCATGGTTGCCATCGTGGCAAGCGCGTTGCTCCGCGAATCACCTCACTCATCCTCTTGTCGTCATTGCTAAAGTCATCCAACAGGGCATCCTGAGATCATCCCACGAATCATGGTGAAATAACTCTGGTTAAAAAGTCCCCTACCAGTGGCTTATCCCAGAAGAGCAGGGTTACTAACCAATTGCATAAATCCTAGATGCTTGGAATCAAGGATGATTGTTGGACGATGAGCGATTGGGATACAGTATCCACTGGAAAGGTCATGTCATAGTCCCATGATATTATGGCTAAATCCTAGATCCAAGCCAAACATTGCCATGTTTTCATGAAGATGATGACGACCTTCCCAATTGTCTTCGAATGAGCCAATAGGGCAATTGTGACATTGTGGCTCGCTAATTGCTCTGAAATCACCGTTCTTCAGTTCGATCACCAGTTTTGCTGGTCAAAGTCCGCGTCTGTCGGTGAAATCAGCCATTTTCTTAAGTTAAACCACATTATCGTGGTTAAATGACCGTGTTTGTTCGTTGAATCACCCGTTTCTTTGTAAAATCAGGTAAAATCACCATAAAATCACCGTGTTTGTTTGTTGAATCAACACCTTTTCTTTGGCATCCTCCTGACCCAAGGATCTAAGCAGATGTCCCTGGCTGTGGGAGCCAGATCCAATGCTCCCTGCAGTTCCAGCACGTCTTTCAGGACGGCTTCGGCTTTCTCAACACCTTCAGCTGATACCAAAACCTATGAGTCAAAAGCTAACAATCCGGGATGGTCCCCAAAAACAGCTGCTTGCTGGATGATCTGGATGTTGCTTCCCCCATGGGAATAGCTTTTGACCCATTCCCAGTTGTTGAACTATTTGGATGCCTGACCTGGGTCAAAACTGGTGACGACCCTGGTGACGATCTGCTAAATGTTCATCCTCAATAATCATCCATGTGTATTGACCCAAGTGATCTTAAGTACAGTAAATGGGTATCATGGGGATTTGCTTAAAAAAATGAATATAATGGTAGTGTAACTAGTGGGTATGGATCAAAACCCATGACTTACGAATGGTTGGTTGTCGAATGGGGATTTATGGGGTTTGGGGATGGATCAAAATGAATAAAAACCTATGAAATACCATATGACAGGGGGATGAACATTCATCATTCCCAGATTTTTTGGGGTAGATGGGTATCATGGGGTCGACCCATACCTCTCTAACATTTAACCTGATTGGAACTTTCAACCAAGCCGATATGTTCGCCAAGTGCTTACCTTTAATATGAAAGCATCCAATTTTGGATGATCAAGTCAATTGCAGCCATTCTCGACTTCATTTCATATCTTGGTGAACCGCGAACAAATGCGCAGACTTCCCCAGTGAATAACCGGCTCGCCGCTCACCGATGGCCACTTGCGGTCATGCCGGCAGATTGATTTCCCTTTCAAATGTTCGTGTATTTTCCCTGGCATTTCTGCATCCTTAAATCCAGGAAATGCTGAAACCCTCTCCCGAATCAACTGGAAAACACCCCCATCTTGCACATGTGTCCCATATTTTCTCCCAAAAAAAACATGGTGCCGTATCTTTCTCCACCCCCGCCATACGTTTCTCCAGCTCCGCCCCCGGTGCCCCGGCTTTGCTCAGCTGAAGGGATCAAGGCATCTTCGACTTCCAGAATCTCAGAGGCTTCCAACCAGAACAGCCGATGCGCAGTGTGATCCTCAACGGCTCGGTTGATCTCAACCTGAAGGCAAATATTGTTTAATATACTACATTATATTTACATAGTCATCAGATTTATACTACATTAATATCTCATTGTCATCAGATTTATTGTTTAGTATGATGATGTATGATGTTTTAATAAAATACAAGATATATGTATCTAATACATAGTTCACATCAAAGAAATCATCAGTTAGGACGTACAGACTCTAAAATTCAAACATCCCCATCCCAACCCCCAACCCTGGGCATCCCTGGGCCCCATCCCCACCTGCAAGGTCTGTTTCAGCTGTGCCAAGCGTTCCAGCCGTGTCTTCACCACCTCTTCCAGCACTTCGCGCATCGACGGCAGGTCGTTCCCGGCCATGGACAGCGTGCCACTGGCGCGGGGCTTGCGACGCAGCCGCAGTTTCAGGGGATTCAGCAGGAACTTCACCTGTCACCAGGAACAGTTGGGGTTTTTTAACGGGGATATAACGGGGATATAAAGTATATATACAGAAAATAACTATAACTATATAAATACTGGAACAGATAGCCAACAATGCATGGGCTGTATTTGGGTGTACCTGAAACTGGTGGAGATCCAATTTCCGGCAAAAATAGGGGAAAATGAGTTTCTAAGCCCCAAAACCTATCAATTTTTCCCAACAAAGCCAAGGGCACCTTCTCCACTAGGTCGTTGTCTTCACCGTCTTCCTGGCTCCAGGACTTTGCTGAAAATGAGAGAAATTTGGTGCTGAAGAGGCATGAAATCCCCAAGTTGCTGGCGCAAGAACACAAGCTCTCCTAATCCTCGAGGTGCGCACAGGGCGACACAAAAAATATGGAGTCAAACAACAAAAACTACGAACTAGTTAACTAGTTAGTTCTTTAGCTTGAAACTATCATAAAGTATCCAACTTTAATATCCAATTCTCATAGTTTCCATAGTCTCCAGGTTCAAAGGACTGAATCACTAGCCGTCACCCAAAAATCCTCCCCTGCCTGTGCCAAGCGCCTCATTCGCTCCAGAAGCCAGACTCGGACTTCGGTCGCTTGCGAAGGTTCCTTGTCCCAGCAGATATGTTGCAGCAACAACAGATCCTGGGCCACTGGGAAACCGGTTGTTTTTTGCCATCAAATGGAAGGGCTATACGATACATTGTATATAACGTATCATATTGCATCGTATTGTAATATATATATATATTATTTAAATATTAGATTTATGTTTAAAAATTATTAAGTTATACAATATCACGTTATATTAATTATAGTATAGTATAATTATAGTATATTACATTATATTGTAAATAAAATTCTATCAAGTATCATACTATATTATTATAATGTATTATATTATAATGTATTATATTGTAATGTATTATATAATTATATTGTATTATGTAATGTTGAAGTATATTAAATTATTATAGATCATATTCTATTATTATACGTTCTTGCACCCATGTTCTCGGATCCCGCTTCAGCTGCAGAAGCCCCGAAGAGAAAGGCATCATGCCCTTGCTACTCCCCCTCCGTGAAAGTGGAAGGTGAACAGACATTGGCCCATCAAATGCCAAATACAAAGTTCGCCCACTTATCGTGCAGCACGCCTTTTCTTTGCTGCCTGTGACTGGCCTTGCAGGTGAATCAGCCTGACCTCTCATCAAACTGACCAGCATTCAAAATCCAAAACTGCCATACAAGGGCGGGGGCGCAGCCGTGGGCGGGCCGCGAGGAAAAATCAAGGCTTCGCACTTGGACCTCCTAGTTAGGACATCTTCCGTTTTGAGTCTTGAGCACAGCGTGCATTGGCATGTTCAGTGAATGATCTCGGAACCCTCGACTTTGGCACCGAACATCTGCAGCCTGATGTTCTTTCCCAAAGACCATTCAGCAAGAGTATATGTGTGTCGTTATAATATATTGTATTGTATTATACTATATTACATTATATTGAACTGTAGTAAAGTATACTATATTATACTATCCTATACTAAACTATATTGTGTGATTTTATATTACATTACATTATATAATATTATATTGTATTATAGTTTATTATATTATAATATCACTATATAACTTTCTTAGATTAATTTATAGTATTATAACACTCTATTATTAAATTATTGTATTATTATGTTATTATAGTATTATATTATTATATCATTATGTTATTATTACATTATTATGTTATTATATTATTAAATTGTTAAATTATATTATTATATCATTATATTCTTATATTGTCATATTACTATATTGCAAATTATTCTTGGTTTACAAATCATTGCTATATTACTATATTACTATAGTATTATATTGTGGTATTATATTATTATGTTATTAAATTTTTTTTTATCCTATTATTATGAATATATCATGTTCTTATCATATTATATCATTATATTATTATATTATAATATTATGATATTATTATATTATTTATATTATTGTATTATTATATTATTATATTAATATATTATAATATTATAGCATTATTATTACACCATTATATTATTAGAGTATTATATTATTAGATTACTATATTATTATATTATTAGATTTTTATATTATTCTATTATTAGATGTTTATATTATTATATATTTATGTAATTACATATTTTGTATAATGATATCATTCTAGTATTATCTGGTATCATAAATTGTTATATTATACATTGATACATTATATTATACGTTATCATGTAGTATTCAATTAATACATTATATTAAATCATATTGTATGATATTGCATTATATTGCATTATATTATATTATATTGTATTATATTATATTGTTGTATTATAGTATATTATGTTATATTAGATTATATATGCGTACCATATTATTCTGGCTGAATGAAATAACAAATTCATATAATTTCACTAACCTCAAAATAGCTGTTACCATGTCAATTTGGGGATGATTCCCCGAATCCAATTCCCATCATTGCAGTGATGGAAAACAGTGAGGTCATTACGATTCATCGCTTCCTGTAATAAACCAAGTCGACGAAAGGTCCCAGTTTTGCCAGTCAGAATTCACCCCCTTCCCAATAAATACACCCAAAAATCCCAAGAAACAGGATTGCTCCAAACACCCCAGGTACGCTTGAAGGGTAAATTGGGCAAATATAAAGTTTTAGAGATTTATGACTCAAACGTGGCTATCATTTACCATGAGTTGGAGCACCCCTGAGAAACTGGGCGAGTTTTTGGTGATATTATATATAATGTCAACCCCGGATTAATAAACCATGGTTTATTAATTAGGGGGGTACTCCTCCAATAGTCATAATCTAATACTTAAATGGTACCCTCCCAATTAAAAAGCCTAGTGGTTTATTAATCCAGGGGTGACATTATATATATATATATTCATATTACATATTCATATTAATATTGAAACTAGTATTATACATCATATTGTATATGATTATATTAGTATATATAGATAATATATATATATATCATATATATATATATATTATATATATATATATATTATCATATATATCATATATCATACATACATCCAAAATTCCCCAGAAACCGGGACGAGTTTTCGGTCCCAGCGTCCAGCTCCGAAACCTCCTTGGCGCCACAGAGGGACGCGCCCAGCCGCAGCAGCCGCACGGCTTTCCCCAGGCGACGGTCCGAGAGGTTCACTGGAGGCTCAGCTTCCTCATCCAGGCAGCGATTTCTTCGTGTTTTTGCTGGAGATGTGGTGAAAAATATGTGCTCATATGTTTCGAAAGGGAATTGCAGCATATTTTTCACAAAACCATGTGCGTTTTTTTTGAATGAAGGGGAGTTGGGTATTTGTGTGTGTAACGAATTTCACAGGGATTTGTTCTTTTTTCACGGTGATTTAATAATAGTTAATATATGATAACAATTGATTCTGATAATATTTAAAATCCCAAACCTCCTGGAGATTTGATGGATTTGATTTGATGAATGGATTTGATGGATCTATGGGATTTCATGGTGATGTTTAATGGGGAAACAATGGTTTTCAATGGATTTGCCATCGGAATATTTGCACGGTGAAAACCACAGTTGAACCCATGGGATTTTTACCCCATGAAATAGGGGGGCTCCTGTAAATGTTCAATTCGAGGAGCTTCAGGTGCGTTGGGTCATGTTTTTCGCCATCGAAAAGGTCAGGACAATGTTGGCATTCCGTTCTTCGTGTTCTGTGCTGCGAATGCCGTTCTTTTTTAATGATCGTCAGTTCCGGTATGATCATGTTCATTGTTGGTGTTCTTGGGGTTGTCATGATTTTTGAAATGATGGGTACCAGGTACCATTGATCTTGGTGGACGTATCACGAATTCAGGGGTGATTTGATGCTGGGTTCCCCCAAGGGGCTCCAGCAAACAGTAAGACAGAGGGACAGAAGTACAACCAACAAGTCAGGAATGCAACAACAAAACATGAAAGCAACAGACATTAAAAAAATAATCCTTTGGAAAAAGGAATTCTCCTGTATAACCCCACCTCCTTACCTCATTTGACCTCACTATAAATTATGAAGAAAAGAATGGGTATTCCAACCCAACAAGAAGATCAACTCCAAGAATTGGTTGGAAAAATCTACAGGAAAGCCACACATCTTCACATCTTTGGGGTTTCGAAGGCAAAAAAAATGGATTCTTGCATAGATTTTTCCTTAGCCCACCCCGCCCATCTAACTTAAGCAATCCACACTCCAACTACAACCGAAAGAACAGAAGAACCACTCCCCGCAGATGTGCATCTGGGTGTCATCACGCAGGTAGGCTCTCAAGCTCACTACAAGGTCTAACAGATGACTAGGGAAAGTGGTCTTCCCTGCCTGACTTTGAGCTTCGATGGAGTCCATAACCTGTTCAGACAGAGGAGTTGAATGGTGAGCATCAATCATGGCTGAGAAATCACGGATCATGGGCATTAAAGTGGGAACAACCATCGAACTAAATGATCTAAATGGAGGATTGTCCAGCAAAGCCCAAACCAACGGTTTCACCCTGAGAACAACTCATTTTCAGATGACTTTAGTCGTCTTCTGACCCCCAACTCATAGCAGGGTCTATGTACATCATCGGCGAGAATCGGCGGAAGATACAACGATTTTTGAAACCGCCGGAAAATGAAATACCATGAATTACCACTACAGGAATCTCAAAAATTGTACAGTAATTGGAATTTCCCATGCTACACCCGAACATATGAGAATGAGAAATTAACGTTCGAACGCAATCTACCATGGTGACTGGAAATCCCCAGTTTGGACAGGAAATACGACGGATCAGAATCTATTTAATCTAAACCAATCTAATCCAAACTCATCTTATCTCATCTATCTGTATATTACATCATATTGCTAGGCTAGTATGAGGAATTTTGATTGCCAGGTCTTGATTGGACAGTTTGACCATCAAACGGGACCCCACAATGAACAACTGCACTTCTACACGGTTTTTCTGGCTTTCTGAATTACAAAAGAAATAATCGACATGAATATCATAGGATGATTCATAAGAAAAATTACCTACATCATATGTACAAGACTATAACATATACGTTCATATACAGTAATCACCAGAAAAAGCTGGATAGACAGCTTCCTGACAAAGCCGAGGCCAAGTCACTGAGAGCATTGGCTCTTCCGAAGCATCATTGGTGCTTGCCTCGCTGGCAAGGTCCAAGGAACCTCGAATCCCAAGCGGCTTGGCCAAATCACCATGAACAAAACGGAGCTTTGAAGAGGGAAAATATGGGGTGGTGACCTCTACCCCCCTAAAAGCTGGGACAGAAATGGATGAACTATCGGAAATATCAATGGGGAAATCCCCTTTAAAATTATATAAATGGGAGGGTTTAATATGTTTAATGAGAATAACCCTCCAGTACATTGGTGGACTTTCCGGCCAGCCATGTTTGATTACCGGATGGTCTACCATCCACTGAACTAAGCGTTTGACCCTGCCATGAGTTCAGGGTCTACCTGGTGTACTGACCCCCCTCAGGCATTCACCATTTCACTATCCCTAAAAACCTAAAGTAATCAGAATGCCTACACTGCCTACACATGCCTACACTATTTCCCATATATTGTTTATCTGTTCAAACTACATGTGTATAGTATATACTGTATATAAACACCGTCATGAAATAACAATAAGGTCGGCCACGATCGCGACAGCCGACATAATTCACCCAGATCCACACTGAAATATCCCATCAATCGGCATCCTCTTAGTATCCTCTTGGTATCCGATGCTTATCCCGTGAGTATTTGACTAGTTTCCCTTTTTTAATTCCCGGTATATTTCCATGTGCTCCTTAAATCACCATAGGTATCCATGAATGATCATTAATGTCCGCGCTAAACTTCGATATCCATAAACCAATTCCCAATATATCTATTGATATCCGGCCATATGTTTGTTGCTTAAATCCAATGAATTTTGTGGGTTGAATCACTGTTGAATGCCCCGTTGCTGAAATAGGTACGGTATATTGACAGTATATCCGTTAACATCCATGAAAAAAAAACGTTCAATTCTATCAATATCCATTACAGTAAATATTGAATAGATTACATCCCCATTTGAAAGCTTGCTTTATCACCATTTTTGGTTATTTAAATCACCATGCATATCTTGGATTTGCTTAAGGACCTCCAAATTAATAACAAAAAAAGAACATAGATTCCTCAAGTTTTGGATGTCTGTCGAAAAAAAGATGCCAAATAGTCGCCTCAGCAAATCCAGGAATAACTTTTCAATCTATTGGTCTTTGAGAATTTACTGACAATCATTTCAGCCACATCTAAGATGTCATATGGCAGTGTGTCAAAACCTTGTACCCCTGGTGAACATCAAAATAGCTGGTAAATGGATGTTCATCCCCCTAAAAATGGTATTAATAGGTATTGATCCATACCCATATCCACCTTTCAACAAATCCTGGCCAGTCTGGGCTGAGCCGCTGCGCAGAAACTCCGGCACTTGGTCGTCCGAGACGCGCGGCACTTGCCGCCGCAACAAGAACCTCGCCGCAACGGCGTCGACGTAAGATCTACCCCCAGTGGATTGGCCCAACTGATTTCATGCTGATTTCATCGGAGTTCATCCAACTACAGATTTTTGTTGATGATTCAAGGCTTGTTTGATGGGGGATTCATGGAAAGTCAATGATTTACTTGAATTTTATGGTGGAAAATTGGATTTTAGCAAGAAAATGTTGAATATAACGGTTCGCTATGGTATAGAATGGTATCAGCAACAGTTCGATGTTTTACTGTTTTTAAACATGGTGATTGTCCTCTTAAATTACCAGAGGCTACCTGTGAAAAGATACCTGATTATGATATCATACCAATGTGTTGAACTATTGGGCAGAGTGAAGCTATTGGAAAATCACCCAGAAAATCATCCAGGGAAAGGAAAAGAAAAACAATTAAAAACTGGTTGGTGGTTTCAACCCCTTTTTTTTTTCCATTTGCTCTGCTGCACCGTCTTGGTGCTTGGTCTCCGTGCATGCTTCGGCTGACCTTTCATCAGCTTCCGCCATGGTAGTCCGGCTGTACGACTGCAGCATCATGGCAACTCTGTTCTAGATAAGGGGTGAAGTCATCCGGCAGGCTTTGTGCCACGTCCAGGTCTGACCATTGTGTTGCAGCCTGGAACAGTGCTTCCCCAAGGATCTTGTTGAGGCCATATGGATATACCTTGGCTTTTGCAGTATGGAAGGTGCCGTCAAGCTCTCTGCCTATCAAGGCCACATGCGAGCCCGGTGGGTGATTGCAACGCCCAGAGCAGCCTCTCCTGAGCAGAATGTCCCTCACACGGGGCAGCCGGAGGAGCAGGAGGGTTGTGGGTTTTTTTCCCAACGCACCTACCGTGCACTGATCGAAGCTCACGACTGAAAAGCAGCCCAGGTTTTTCAGTTGGATGAGCGCTTCGGTCGCCCAAATGCTGGCAGGGGATCCTCGAGTGCACCAGGTTGGAAACTGAGGATGCTCGAGGAATCCGCTCATGCCCATCATGGCTAGTGCCACCAACACATCGAGCAGGAACCTCAGGAGCCGGTCGCTGATGCGGAGCTGGTTCCACTCTCGTATGGACAGCCCGGGGATGCCCAATGGGTGCGCTGCACTGCGGAGTGGTCTGGGGCCACCGTCGTATTGTCTGGCGACGGTGAACGTTTCACATGGTGGGCCTCCCCCCGCTGCGACCACCTGCCCACTCAAGATTCGCTCTTTCCACCACCGCGCAGCTTGAGGAGTTGCAAGATCTCCCTTGATCCTTTGCATGCAGAGATCTACCGAGAGGGTGAATACATGGGCTCCTGTTTGCATGGTGCAGTGGTCTATGATGTGGTGGATATCACCCATCCTGCGGAAACCGCTGAAGAAATGCACAATGACAAGCGCTCTGACGTGCAGCAGTGCTGTTTCACGGGCCAGTCCGTGCATGGAGAACGCTCCTCCAGCATTGTCTCGTCCTTTTGGGGACTGCATGATGAATGCCGGGAGGTCCTGACGATGCCACCACAGGGTGGGTGCCTTCTGAGGGTAACGCTCAACCCGGGTACCCTGCAGCTGGTTGTATGCCATGTCATCACTGGGGCGTCGGTGGGCCATCTTGGTGTGCATTGCTTGTGCCTCTTCGGAGCCTGCTGGTGGTAATGGGGGTCCGCAGGTTTGGAGCACCGGTTGGAACGCTTTCGAGGCCCACCAGCCTTGCTTGCGGAGGAGTGCTTCATGCTCTTTGTCTGCATCGTCCAGGCTTTGGACCAGTTCAGCGGGAAATGGGGGCCAGCAAGATTGGATCACATCATAGCATTTTTGCTGCTTTTCGTAGTGCACTGAAAGCCGTTTTCTGGTGTGGAAGTCTTGGCCACAGGCGTGGCACATGCTTCCCACCGTGAAGTATCGTACTTTCTTCTTGTATCCATGCTCTCGGGTGGCATGCATCGCCAAGGCACGAGTGGATGCAAAGATTTTGTGGCACAAATCGCACTGCCATTTTTCGGCGGGCACCTGGGGCTTGGCTTTGTCTGGTATGGTGGCGCCGGCAGCTGCCAGCCTGGCATCAAAGTGTCTTTGCCACACGGCATGTTCGGCTCGAGCTCTGTGATAGGACAAGGCTAGCTTGCTTGTTTTGCACAGCCGGCCCTTCCAGTTTGGGTCGAGGCGGATGAATCGGACCCAATCAAGGAAGGTGGAGGAGCTGTCCAGGGGCAGCTTGCTATCGTAGTGCAGCAGCATCCATTGACAGGACTCCATACACAATGCTGTCCAAGAGTGAGGGCCATCATGGTTGGTCAGCAATGCCCATGTGATGGGTGGACAGGCTCCCAGGAGCCTGGCTAGGAACCGCAGCCTGTTGGCATGAACCTGGTCAAGTGGTGGCAAAATGCCTGCACAGGCTAGCATTTCGTCCGTAGTATGCATGAAACGGGTCGGTGCCATTAACAATCCCTTCAAGAGGGTGCCAGCTGGGGCTTTCAGGTGGTTGACGAGTGTTTGCATCTGTTTTGGTGTGACTGTCGACCACGTGTGGACGTTATACAGCAGCTTTGAGATGACTAAGGACTGAAAGATTGTACTTTTGACCGGCAGGGAGATACACTTTTTGGTGAAAAATGATCTTGCCAGTTGGCCGTATTTCTGTTTTGCAGCAGATCCCCTGGCCAGGATCTCTTTGCTGTGCTTGTGGTGCGACTGCAGCCATGTGCCCAGGTGTTTGTAGGCGTGACAGAGCTGCAGGGTGTACTTCTTGTTGTTGGACTCCCATTGGAGTGAGTGGCCATCATCATAAAGGGCTTGTTTGAGCTGTCGGGCTCCCTTACCGATGACCGTCCACAACGCCTCGGTCTTGCCACGATCATAGTTGATGCTGAGTCCTCTCTTTTCGGCTGCTTGATCCAGCGCTACTACGACAGCCTTCATGGTTTGGGCTACACGATCATTGCAGCGTCCATGGATAAGAACCACGCAGTCATCAACAAATGTAACATCCACGTATCCCTCTGGTGGCATGGCAGGACAAGTTTCAAGGTCCACCACCGGGGTAGCAGTGCCTTGCCAGGGAACATCAATGTGGCTTGCCATATGTGTGCGGAAATCTGTCAGGATGAGGTGCATGCACAGATTGAATAAGACATCAGCCACTGAGTCGCCTGGGCGCGTGCCTCTGGTGGTTTGGCAGGGGTTTTGAAGACCTTGGATTGTGAAGTACGTGTTGTGCAACAGGTCCTGGAGGATGTGTTGCATATGCTTTGGCATCTGTTTGGCGGCTTCGTCGGTTTTGGCTGCACTCAAAAGCCGGTCGACGTCAGCTGGGGTGAGGCCAAAGTGGTACATCGCAGCCATGAATGCATCATCATGAGACTGTATGCATGTGAAAGCCTGTCTCAAGACCATGTAAAAGGCTGATTTCAGGTCAAAGAAAACTGCAGCAGAGGGTACCGCTTTGTGCTTGCACCAGGATTGGTGAGATTGGACAATATGGTGGGCCAGGTCGGCCCCGATGCCTTTTCTGCCACCGCATTGTAAATGCGTCAAGCTTTGCTCCCACGCCCTTACGAGGTGGGCTCGAAAGCACTGGTGATAAAGCTTGGTCGTGTAATTCGAAATAAAGATGCTTCTATATCCACTTGCAATGCTTGGTGCCAACTTACCTTTCCACAGTGGGATTAGGACTCCCCCTTTCCAAGGCAATGGCTCACGGGAGTTGGCAGCTGCCTTGGCGTAAAGCACGGACAGTTGCTTGGCTGCAACATGCCCTCCTGCCTTCAGCAATGCTGGTGGAATGAGGTTGGGGCCAGGGACTTTATCCCTTTTGAGCTTTGCTATGAGCATTCGGATCTGCCATTGTCCAGGGAACGCATCAGGCTCAATGTCATGACATGGCATGTCCAGTGACTGGGTGGCATGTTGGTCGGCAAGCTGTTCCCATGAGCGGGGGATGCCAGCCTCTATACCTGCAAACTGTTGCATCCACGTTTGCTGCTGGTCAAGGTAAGAGCTGGCTGTAGTGCCATCTGGTTTCTGGATCATGGGCAACGGCTTCGGGCCCATTGCACTGGCTCCTTTTTTACGCCCCAGTCTATGCAAAATGCGGAAGACCAGCCGGTGATTGGCAAGCTCTCCAGAAGTCTGGATTTGTTGCAACAGGTCATCGTAGAAGGCTCGGATGTCAGCATTGACCATTCGAGTCACTTCCTTTTCGATGGCTCGGAGCTCTGCTTTGAAGTCGGCGTGGTGAAGGCATTCGGCTTGCCGGCCAAAGTCGAGAACGTGTCTCTTGAAGGCAATGGCACTGAGCGTTTGAGGTTGCAGTGGGATGGGTCGTGTCTTGCTGGGCTTCTTGGCAAAAAACTGCCGTCCAAGAGCAAGAACCTGTTGCTCATATAAGGCTGCGTGGTCGTCCACATTGACCTGCCATTGCGGCAGCGGCAGGGTGTGCAAGGCAGCTTGAAATTCAGCGACCTTCTGTGGGTCCAGCATTGCAGGCTCATCCCACACAATGGGGGGGCAAGCATTGGAGGTGGGCAGCCAACCTGAGCATCGCAGGACCGCAGGTAGGTGGTCTTCATGGGCAAAAGTGGTATCGTGGTGAATGTCAATCCAGCTTTTGTTTGCCAGGGTGGCCACCTCTTTGGACAACAGGACATAATCTTTTCTGCTTTTCTTGCCTGTGGTGTGGGTCCAGGTGGTAGTTGGTCCTTCATGGACTTGTGGAAAGGTGCAAGGTACTGTGAGTTGATGCATGTGGATGAACTCCTCAAACAGTTCACTGGCCTGGTTGGCCGGTTCAGCACCGTGTGGTCCGATGAGGGTACCATCACCTGCGTCAAGCGGGGCATTGGCATCGATGAAGACCCATTGTGCAGTGGCCGTGACGTGCTTGTCATACAATGCCATGGTTTCAAGCCACCATTGCTTGGCTAGTGCAGTAGGATCTTGAGATCCTTGGCTCCCATGGGCCAGGCTGGGTGCATGAAGGACCACAAACGCATAGACTGTATGGCCTAAGCGGGCT